GGATGTCTGGGAGTGGAATGCTCCATCTTGGGAGCAGAGGTGGAGGAATTGGGAGTAAGGGATCGCATTCTTACAGGAGGGAGACCAAAGAGACCAGCATCTTTCCCTGCAAATGCAGGAAGTGCTACATCTGCTCCTACACCTCCCCCCTCACCTCTATCCAAGGCCCAAAGCAAACTTTTCACATCCAACAGGGGTTCACCTGTACACCCTCCAACCTGGTCTGCTGTATCCGTTGCTCCCGATGTGGCCTCCCCTACATCGGTGAGACCAAGCGCAGACTCTGAGACCGTTTAATGGAGCATCTGCGCTCTGTGTGCCATAATCGACAACACCTTCTGGTTGCCAACCATTTTAACTCACCCTCCCACTCCCTTGATGACATGTCTATCCTGGGCCTCCTCCAGTGCCAAAATGACACCACTACAAACTGGAGGAGCAACACCTCATATTCCGCCTCAGGAGCCTACAGCCCGATGGCCTTAACATAGACTTCACCCCTGGCCTCATCCTCTGTCCAAACCTCCCTATCGTCCCTGCCTCCTTGACCTGATACAATCTGTCCACCTTCTTCCCTACCCTTCCCACCGACCAATCCCCACTACCCCCTACTTGCATCCACCTACCTCCATCCCATCTACCTTTCCCCAGCTCCACCCCTCCTCTCTCTATTTATTTCCCAGCTCCCTTTCCCCTCTCCATTTCTGAAGAATGGTCCCAACTTGAAACGTCAACTTTCCTGCTTCATTGCTGCCTGACCTGCTGTTTTTGTCCAGCTCCACATTGTGTTGTCTCTTGTATCAGACACTTGGTGGAGTATTGTGTGCAGTTCTGGGTGCTACAATGTAGGAAGGATGTGAATGCATTGGGGAGAGTGCAGAATATTTTATAAGAATTATTGCAGGAATGAGGAACTTCAGTTATGAGGATGGATTGAAGAAATCGGGACTGTGCTCCTTGGAGAGAAGCAGGTTGAGGAGAATTGATAGAGCTCAAACTTCTGAGTAGGCTAGATAGAGTAGATAGGAGAAACTGTTCCTGCTTGTAAGAAGATTCAGAGATCTGTAAAAGAAGCAAGGGTATAGTGAGGAAAAACATTTTCACTCTGAATAGTTAGGATGTCAAGTGCACTGCTTGGAAGTGTGGCGGAGGCAGGTGCAATTGACGCATTCAAGAGGGCATTGCATGATTATTTAGATAAAAGTAATGTACAAGGGTACAGAATGAAGGGAATTGGCACTAGGTAATAATGCTCATTCAATGAGCTAGTATAGCCATGATAGGCCAAAAGGCCTTTGTGCCATAACACTTCTGTGATCTGCACAGTAAAGGGTGAAATATGCTGTCAGTGAAGCCTTTTATTGCCACAGGAAATGCTGTTGCACTCATCACAGTTAACCTGCACAGGCATCACTGTTAAGATGTGAATTTAGGTTAATTACCCAAGGTCTGTTGGGAAAAACTCAAGCCTAGTTCAGTCAGGGGTAAGCATGTTATCAGTGCTATTAATTCACCCTTCCTACTAAAGAACTTCTGACTCTGAAAGTTAACTTTGGGTTTGAAGTCTCATTCCCACGAGTAAAATTGATGTTGCAGATCTTTGTAAACATAAAGACAACTTTAATAGTTTTTGTTTTTATGGCCTTTTTAGTCTAATTTGTATGAGTCAATTTATTTCCTTTAATATTGATTTGAATAACTTCCTTGCTGTTTACTCGCAGAGAGTGTAGAATTCAAAGGGACCTGAGGGGCAACTTTCTCACGTAGAGTGTGGTTCGTATCTGGAATGAACTGCCAGAGAAAGTGGTAAATGCAAGTTTAGTTGCAACATTTTAAAAGACATGTGGACAGGTACGTGAATAGGAAGGGTTTAGAGGGATATGGGCCAAATGCAGGCAAGTGGGACTAGTTTGGGAAACTTGGACGAGTTGGACCAAAGGATCGGTTTTGACACATTATGACACTTTGACTATACTTGTAGAAAATTTCACAAAGTCTGTGGGAAACTATGCAAACAAAAAAATGTTCTGCCCCTGTTGCTCATGAAAACTTGCATTGTTTAACTGAAATATGAGACTTCCAACATGATAAATCCCTCAATGATGAACTGGAGTGCCTAATAGAATTTTATGCTCAAGTCTCTGAACTTGGACACACCACCTTCTGACTAGAGTGCTGCTGACTGAACCACAGCTGACAACTTTTTTAAAGTCATTAGATTTATTCGTGTTAAGCACATTTATAACACTTTAACTGTGGTGTTTTCTATCTGCAATAAGGAAACAAAAACACTTCATCTTAATACTCTATTACAGTATTAACAAGTATAAAAACAAAAACTTCTTTTTCTGATCATTCGATGTGAACCTCAGAAGATGAAAGATAATAGTATTCAAATTGCTTTAGTAGTCAAAATGTAATGAGCAATAATTAGAGTTAATATAGATAATGAGTGGGTCATTTGAATTTTTGTCAATGTTAACAATTTCTATTTAGTAGGGGATTGTATCGGAGTGGTTAATGTGCAATCAGCCTGACAATTGTATTATTTTGTAAAAGACCAACTTTTAGGATGACTTGCTAATTTGACCTTTTTTTTTGAATCACATCATTTAAACAAATTGAGCTGTTTCAATGTAAGCAGTAATTTACAGCACATACAAGGTAACGTCGCATAAGATCATTGTGATTCCCAAAGTCTTGATTTATATCATGTAAGCCACTTGATTAAAATCAGTGAATCAGAACATTTTAGTGTGAGACCCTGAAGAATTTTAATGCTGATGTATCTCATGATTAACATCTGGTGTTTTGGATGTGATTGTCTTCTTATTAAGAGCATTGTATATTAGCAAATGGAGAGTGATTTCAGAGTTATCCCAAAGTACAAGACACTTGCATTGAGAAAATAAAATTACAAGGTCATCAAGTTGGTGAAGGGGTGCTGTAGAAAACAATGAAAGTGGTGGCACTTCTGTCATCCTCTTTATTTACTTAAATATGAATAATTAGGTTTAGGAAGATACAGGTTTAGATTATAGATGGATTCTTTTTAATGCAAACATCTAGAAATAACATTGCATGGCTTCATCTGTTAAAACATAAAATGCAAACTTTAACCTGATCATACTTAGAACCTGCACTTGTCCATAGACATCGATGGTTTTTGAAATTCTGTATTCCTATCGAATAATATTTTTGTTCTGAGAGAGCACAAAAATGATTTTATTGAGGAATCTGTTCATCCTAGGAAACTGTACCTGCAACAGTACAAACAAAAATGGTATGTAGAGCTTCAATGAAAAGGGCATGAATAAAACATTTTAAAAAAATTAAGAAACTAAGCACCAATAATTAACACTAATAGGGATTCTATGAACCAATATTAGAATGTCATTGACCTCTAAATTATTAATATTAATTGGTATATTTAAATCGTGTTCCGTTCAGTGTTGAGTACTATATAATTTATTAGGCTTGGCCTCTTTAATGGCAACATGGCTTTTCCATTTAATACATTGAGGCACAGACCTATTGTTCCCATCTTGCCCCCTTGCTGTAGCAAAATCTTTAGACCTAATTATCGTGAACTCAGCAGTAACAATCACTGCAAAGATGTCTGGAAACAGTTGGAATTTCAGTTCTTTAGACCTGAATAAACTTCAACTAAATTACTTAATTAATTTTCAGACCAGGAGAATTTGGTTTTGTCTAATAACTTTGGCTAGACATTGCTTTACAGACCTTCCAATGCAATATGTTTGCTCTTTGTTGCTTAGATTTGAGTGAGTGAAGGGATAATATCTCTGAACAGACTTCTGGATATCTAGAAAACAATTTAAAGAATGACGAAGGTCACAAAAGAACTGTTGCTTCAAAAAGGAACCCCAAAATGCTCCAATTTGGGTCAAATCAAGAAAATCAAGTAAGTACAATTGATGTAACATTACAACTTTCTCATAAAACATTCTCAAAGTAATTTGCATCTCATATGTATCAGTAAATAAAAGACTATCCAAACATCATCATAAAGATGGCTGCAGTATTTTCAATTTTGATTCACTGTTAAAATCACTTGGGTAAATTGTGGTTTTATGTGTGACTTTGAATTGACTTTCAGCTATGGAAAAATAACAGTGGTTTCATAAATTATTTATGACTGATCCCAGATTTTGTTTTACGTCTTTAATTAATGGATACTGGATTGTTATGGGAGGGTGATGATAGACAGGCATTATTTTGATAGTTGAAGTAAAAGCCGTAGAACAATTTACTTTTATTATGCCTTTGTAAATATATTTAATGTAAAAGCAAGTGCTAAAATGTGCAACTATGATGTACAAATGAAATGCGTGTCTGTTGAAGCAAATTGACATGCAACACAGGAAACTGCTTGCGTAGAACTTGAGCAAATTTCAGTGGAATTGATAACTTCGTTGTTGTTCAGACTTAATCGGTCAATTTTTCCCCCTGTTTTTATTCAGTCTTTCCAACTTGAATTTGAAAACCAGTGATTTAGATCCAAAGTTATTTTCCCAGCTACGGACATTAGAGGAACTTGATGTGTCTGGAAATCTGCTGACAGAAATTCCAAACAATCTGGGACTTACCAACTTGAGACTTCTCAACTGTGCCAATAATGATATGGAACAAATTACAACACTGAACCAGTTTAAGAATCTTGAGGATCTCAATTGTGAAGATAACTTGTACTTAACAGTAAGTGATTGAAAACACATTGAGTTGAAAAAAATATGATTTGTGATAAACTCTTGACATTGTTTCAATTAGATTTAAATTTGCATAACTTCCTGTTTTAAATGGCTACATAAATCGTTCTTTTGCAGAACCAGAAAATCATCTTATTTTATCATTTGTCTATTTAATGCATTTCTGCTGTCTTTTTCATTGTCCTGCTAGTGTTGTGATGCCCCAATGGAAATGGGTTGATTTATAAGTTGTATTTTATTTGGTTTTACCTCTTTGTGTCCTATGTTATCTTCCATGAAGGAAAAAGGAAGGCCATCTAAATCTAGAGTTCTATAGATAACTAATTATTAATAATGCAGCAAAAGCAAGAAGAAAGCATTAAAGGAAGAATTCTGTATATTATTGTCTCATGATTTTGTAATACTGTTATATAACTGACATGTAAATCTTTATTTCTTTCCAGATCTGTGACATTTACAAGGTAATGTACCTGCTGCCCAATCTTCGACAACTCAATGGTAAAGATATAACATCCACTGCAAATCATCTGAAGTTCATCAACAGCCAGAAGCTAATGTCTCAAGTGAGTGCATGGTATTAAAATAACAGTTTTTTTCCTTGATGAAGCTAGGGCTTGATTTAAATTGATTTTAAGAGTTAGCACGGTTAGACTCTAGTTAAGAAATTTACAATGTATCCTCAATACATCAGAAAGTAGATAGTGAGGTAATGTTGTCAAGTACATATTAGACTTTTAATTATTTTGTATTGTTACAAGGTGTGTATACATAATACATGGTTAGACCTTTTAAATTCACGATTTTAACTGATTTTCCATGCACAGTTCCTGTGTTGTTTTCCCTCTCACTTATTGGTATGTTCCTAAACAAGCCTTAACACTCTTGAAAGAATGTGCCAGTGTACATTTTCAGAGTATCAGTCCTTTGTTTTGCTTTTCTACAGGTAACTAATTTTTGGGAGAAAAATTACAAGATCCGGTTCTTTGAACTCCTCCCAACAGCTGCTGAGATCAATGCTATTAAAAAAGACTTTGTGAAATGTGCAATTGCTGAAATAAAATATGGTCCGAACTCTCTGAAAGAATTCACAAAGTGGAGAGTAAGTCTGGTTGTTTTTTTTTTTTGCGTTCCTTCCATGGATATGATCTATGATCCTCGCAATTTGTTTGTGTTAAGTAGGTGAAGGAATTGATTTGGTTGTTATGGCGTTAAAGCCAGAGTGCTCATAATCTGTTTTAAATTATTCACAATAAATATGCTGCTACAATTTAATATTGATATCAATCTCTTTTATTCTGCTCCAGCGTGGCCTCAGTGTTCCCCATTGTGCCTGTTGGCATTGGACATTCAGTGGAACAATCAAGCAAACCAACTTCTCATCACTCCATGGGTCCATGTGTTGGGATTGTCTCATGCTGTGCTTCAGTACTAACCAATTGCTTAGTTGTTTCATTGTACTCATTGTTCTAGAATAAATATCTTTTGAATGCTATACCTACACACCAAACATAACAATTTTAATTTCATTTTTCAACCTTCTTAACGTATTCTTAATATTTGAATTAACAACTTGGAATTTTGCAAATAACAATTGCTAACTTAGGAATGATGTTGTTTTAGAAATATTTTTTAAGCAGACAGTTACTCCTGTTAATGAGTTAAGGATGACTTATTTTCAGAATAAGAATTCTTCCTGAATCACTGGAAGGCTTATCATTTAAAATATTAGTAATTGTGACTCCTATTGCTGTGTATTCTTGACTACCTACATTCAGAACCTCATTTCTCAGTCAATTCATGGAAAGGAGACAAGGGGAACTTACTAATTTGTTAAAGCATTAGCTTGATCACTATGTGGGCATAGTTCTTTCAAATCTGGGTGGTTTTGTTTTTGCTCATCCTTCTCCATTAGATCAAATGCTAGTTAAGTTTGAGGAAGAAAATGTTCATACATTTTACTTTCATGATTCTTAATCCCTAACATAGTACAGAAGGATTTCTTTGTCCAAAGGCAAGTAGAAAGATGTAAAAAGCAATTGCTGGGTGCGAGTACTCCAGCCTACTCTGATCTATTGCTTAAATTCCTGGGAGAGAAGGACAGTCTCAAAATGACATGATTAGACCCAGATGAAACCGCTTACGATGAATGTGCCTGGTCTCTAGAATTACCTTTCGAATGTAAAAACAGCTGGCACATCACAACAAACACTTAGTCAGTTACCTGAAGACCATTTGATGTCTGTTTTCTATGGGGAGAGGTAAATGGGGCTAGTTGAAACTAACTGAATAGACTTGCAATGACATTAGATCTGAGAACATTTTTGACAGATTGAGTAATTTGATACCACGGAGTCTGTTCCCATTGAAATAGGACTTGGGACAGTAATTACAACATAGAGTTGTATGAAAGTTCAAAATGCCAAATCATTTAGTTGATGTTTTGAACTAACCAAATGTTTATAGTCTTACATTGTTGAATCTGTTGTGACTGTAGTCTTTACCACGTTTAATTTAAGCATTTTGAGCTGTGTTTTCTGGTTGGGAAATCTAGGATCAGGAAGCAAGTAGGAAGTATAAAATCCGAAATCAAATCTTTCATGAGTTAAATATAGAAGCACTTCAATACACAAAATGTGATCGAAGTTTGGAACATTCTTCTGCAATGGCAATTTATGCTAACTCCATATTAAATTTTTAACTTCTCTTTTTGATCACTGGACTATGAAGGGAAAAGGTCAGAAGTTGGGTCACAGATCAGTGATATCGATGAGTAGCAGAAGAAGACTGAGATACTAAATGGCCTGCTTCTGTTTCTATATTCTGATAACCTGCAACTTCGAGCCTGTTTTCTTTCACCCCCTTATACTCGTTTAATTTCCTTCTTAGGTGGAAATGATAGCTAGAGAATTTGTGAACTCCTTACTCCAGCAAGATAAGCAGGGATCCTCTGCAGAAGAAAGTGAAGATGAGGATGGAAAGAAAGCAAATCACACTGATGTAAGGACTAATATGTTCTGTTGTATAATTTTAGGGATTTCTTTTCGTCATTTACTTCTTATCTTGAGACAAATCCAAACTGGAGAAGTTATTGGTACAATGTAGCATGCAGAAATTATGTATTCTATGAAGTAGTGATCTTCACCAATTGCCTGCTACACGTACACAGTGCTTGCAGAATGGTCCTTTGTACTTTTATCTCCTCCATTGACAGCAAAGTCTTGATGTTTTTCTTTAGCAGGTTGTTCTTTAAAGTTACCCCTCACCCATCCTTCAGTATTGATGGATGATCACTGTTGATGTTATCTTAAATACTTAAGTAGTAGGAACTGAAGAACGTGATAGGACTGCTTGAGTCTTCTCCACTATTCAATAAGATCATGACTTAACCTCTGCATTCACTTGCCTACTGTACTGCCAGGTCCTTTAATTCCCTTAGTAACCAGAAGTTCATTGAGCATATTTAAGGTTGAGGTCAATGACTGACCATCCACAGCTCTGTGGGGTAGAGAATTCCAAAGATTTACAATTGTTTAAGTGAATAAATTTCTCCTCATCTCCATTTTAAACGGCTAACCCACATTCTGAGTATATAGATTCATACAGCATGGAAGGAGGCCCTTCAGCCCAACTCATCCATGTGAACTGAATTAGGCCCATTTGCCTGCTTTTGGCCCGTATCCCTCTAAAATTACTCATGTACCTGTCCAAATATCTTTTAAATGTTGTAACTGTACCTGCTTCTACCACTTCTGGCGGCTTGTTCCATATATGTAACACCCTATCTGTGGAAACGTTGCCCTTAAGTCACGTTTATATCTTTCCCTTCACACCCTAAACCTATTCGCTCTAGTTTTTAACTCCCCTACTTTTCTGGGGAAAAGACCTTGGCTATTCACCTTCTCTATGCCCTTCATGATTTTATAAGCCTCTATTAGGTCATTCTTCGGCTTCCTACACTCCAAGGGAGAAAAGTTCCAGCCTCTCCTTATAATTCAAACCTTCCTTTTGGTTTTGCTCCCTTTCCAGTTTAATAACATCCTTCCCATAGCAGAGTGACCAGAATCATTTGCAGTACTCTAAATGTGGCATTATCAGTGTCCTGTACAGCTGTAACAATGACATCCCAACTCCTGTACTCGGTGCACTGACCCATGAAGGCAAGCGTGCCAAATGCCTCCTTCACCACCCTGTCTACCTTTTGATGCCACTTTCAGGGAACTATATGCACTTGTACCTCTAGGTCTCTCTGTTTGACATACAGTTCGTGGTAGGGCCCTGGGGAGTATGTCCTGCCTTGGTTTGTCTTACCAAAATGCAACATCTCAAATTTATCTGTGGCTCAGTGGTTAGCACTGCTGCCTCACAGCACCAGGGACCCAGGTTCGATTCCAGCCTCGGGCGACTGTCCGTGTGGAGTTTACACGTTCTCCCTGTGTCTGTGTGGGTTTCCTCTAGGTGCTCCGGTTTCCTCCCACAGTCCAAAGATGTGCAGGTTAGGAGGATTGGCCGTGCTAAATTACCCATATAGTGTTCAGGGATGTGTAGGTTAGGTGGGTTACAGGGGGATGGGTCTGGGTGGGATGCTCTGAGGGTTGGTGTGGACTTGTTGGGCCGAAGGGCCTGTTTCTACACTGTAGGGATTCTAATCTATTCTAAACTCCACCTGCCTTTTTTTTTGGTCCTCTGGCCCAGTTAATCAAGATCCCTTTGTTCTCTAGATAACTTGCACTGTTTGTTAAACCAATTTTGGTGTCATCTGCAAACTTATTAACCATGTTTTCCTACGTTCTGGTCCAAATCGTTTATATAAATGATGAACCCAGCACTGATCCCTGAGGAACACTGCTGGTTTTCTAGTTCTAGACCCCCTAGTTGGGAAGACATGTTTTTTTTTTCAGCACCTACTCTGTTAAGCCCCCTTAAGAATTTTCTAAATTTCATTAGGTCACCCCCTCATTCTACTCAACCTGTCCTAATAGGAATCAATCCAATAAACATGTGTTACAAATCCTTTTAAGGATTTCAAAGGAAATAATCCTTCCTTTGGTAAGGAGACCAAAATTGTAGTCTGTATGCCAAGATGTGGTTTTACAGGTGTCCTCTATAATTGCAGAAGGACATCTTTTCTTTTATACTGCAGTCCCCTTTTAATAAAAGCTTGACATACCATTGCCTTCTTAGTGCTTGATGTACCAGCATGTTAACTTTCTTTGATTTGTGTGAGGATATCCAAATCTTTTGAATCACAATATTGTCATCTTTTTAAAATATTATGCTTTTCCATCCTTCCTGCCAAACTGGACAGATATTTGCACACTTCCCCACTTTATACTCGTTCTTTCCAAAACTTTCTTGTATCTTACTTTCCACCACCTTCAGGTTAACTCAGCTACAGTTATTTTGGTGTTGATGCATATAGATAATTTGTTTGCAATGTGAAGAAATCCAGTTGTAATCTTGAAAAAAGACCACATTTTGGTGACTGGATAAGCATTCTTGATAGAATCTCACTTTTAAGTTTCAACCAATGTTCATCTCTAATATTTATTGTGTTTCACCTTTTTGAGATTTGACTCCCTCATTCTAAAATAGCTCCTAAGGTAAAAAAGCAAGGCTCTTGACCACTGTATATTGAATGATTTCTCCTAATCAGCTGCACTCACTAGGAACCAGCCTGATGAAATGTATTCACAGATTGCATCTGACAATTGTAGTTAGTATAGTTTATTGCTCAGTTTCATTAAGTTTCTGAGTTTTGAACTGTTGAGTGCTGGCACTTCCTGCACAAGAGGACCCAAAATGGAATGGTAGTGCAATTTCTTGATTATATGCGATAGTGACAGTTTGCTGTGACATTGATTGATTGTTTCCCCTTTAAGCGGTGCTGCTTCACACATTTCCTGTTTGTATATAGGTCCTAAAAAGGTCTAGTAGAAAAAATTTGCTGAGTTCTCAGCCCTCCATTGCAATATCTTCAACCAGAAGCACCAGGCTTTTTACTGCACATGGTACGACTAAGAGCGGAAAGCAAGTCACTTCTGAAATTTCAAAGAATGACACTGAAGACGTTTCCAGTAAAAGTATGAAAATTCAGCTTGGAAAAGAAAGACAAACAGCTCAGATGGCTAAGTGTTGCAACAAAGCTGGTAGAGATGACATGAAAATGGAACCCAGGGCTACAAAGAGGAATTGTTCAGAAACACCAGTTGTCAGTAAAAGTATTCTAAGAAAGAAATCAAAATACAAGGTATTTGGTTTGAAATTTCAACTTAACCTATATTTGGAGATATTTGTATCGTTTTTTATGGAGTTTGGAGTTTACCCTGAACCATATAAGTAGTGTAGCAAATCTGGAATGGTCCCTTTTGTCCAGATTTGTCCCAAGTTGTTATGGGGGTTTCTTTGCTCCCATAACTAATCTCAGTACCTTGGTACAGAAGTTGGATCTGTAATGTGACGTGTTTCTCACATTTGCGATATACAATCACCCCATACTTTTGGACATTGTTCACTATATTGGATAAATTAATGAAAAAAGCCATAGTATCATTTCTGGAAAATTAATTACTGGATAAAGTGTTTGCTTAGAGAAATATTTACTCTTCATTTTGCAAATAGTATTTAATGAATATACAAGATTTTTCTTACCACTGCCTCTTTCTACAGGTTAAATCTGAAGCTTTTATTTTACTTTTTTGTATTCACCACCTTTTTGCTTCTTTGAACATTCTTCTCCCCAGCCTTCCTAGCAAAAGCATTTCTGTCTGCTGGGCACATTTCTGTGGCTGCCAGTTGTTTTCCAGCCCCTCGTTTTGATTGTTTGTTCAGCCTTGAAGAACAAAGGGTAGAATTTTGACTGCCATGGGGAGGTGGGTGCAGGGTAGGAAAGTAAAGTCCTGCAAAGTGGCAAAGGGTTATCCATCTGACATGATCCTATCCCTTTTCAAGTTTAACCCAGGTAGATTTCCAACTTTCAGGAAATTCCTATGGAGTTCCTGAGCACAATGGGGAATGCTCCTGATAGGCTAGGAAGCTTTTGAAAGTAAACTGAGGAGCATTAGCACTGCTTAGATGAGAAGCTAACGCTCCCAGCATTTTTTCTGTGAGTGTGCTGTCACTGCTTGACACATGATTTCCAATTAATTGGAAGTCTGTTTACCTGTCTTCTGCTTCACTCCCCTTGATCTGCACTTCACAGTTATCACTCTTGGTTCTCCAAGGAACAAAGTCAGTAGCAGAAGCAACAGCAGCAGAAAAACACCATGCTGGTGTGAATGGGTGGAAAGGATAATTGTGAGGCATGGTCGCGAGAGGACAGAAAGATGAGGGTGAGTGTTACTGTTAGCTATTCAGATGGGAATATGAGGAGGTTTATTTCTTTATTCATTTAATGGGATGAGGACGTCACTGGCTAGGCAGCATTTATTGCCCATCCCTAATTGCCCAGAGGGCGGTTCGGAGTCAACCACATTGCTGTGGGTCTTGAGTCACATGTAGTCTAGACCAGGTAAAGATGGCAGCTTTCTTTCCTAAAGGACATTAGTGAACCAGATGGCTTTTTCCAACAATTGACAATGGATTAATGGTTATCATTAGATTCTTAATTCCACATATTGATTTCTGATTTCTGATTTCTGATTCCGCCATCTGCCATGGCGGCATTTGAACCTGGGTCCCCAGAATGTCATCTTGGTCTCTGGATGAACAGTCCAGCGATAATACCACTAGGTCATCGCCTCCCATGGTGCCTGGAGAGAAAAGAATGAATGAAGCTGAAAGATGTGTGGTCTAAGTGTTATGCAAAAGAATGCTGGGAAAGTCAGAATGTGGATCTTGGAGACTGAATAGATTGTTACACTTCCCTTTCCTGTCCTTTTAAGATCCTTGAAATTTTTGGGCACAATATCCATTTTCAAGGCAACTCATCCTTGCTGCTCACTCCTTGCACATTTCCACCCATCCTGCTTGGTGTAAGAGACTAGGCTATTTTTCCTGCTCTTTGCGTACACCGCCTCACTTCCATTTTTCAGATCCCATGCTAGATCAAAGTCCAGAATCTGGGATGCAGCCATTCCAGGTCTCCATTTGTTCCTATGAATGCTGAATCAAATGGAATAGACTATATTGATGCCTACTGGATTCCCTTTAACCAGAAGTTCTTTCTTTGATAGATCTGGTGCCTCATACCACTTTATGTCTATCCTTTACCAGGAATCTGGAAACAGGAAGCTGATGCTATGGCTGGGTTACGTAACAAAGACAATGCCAATTGTTGAATGAAAGATTCCTGACAACTGCTGGCATCTGTTGGGGCAAATATCCACCCAAATGTCTAGTAATGCCAGCAGGAAGTAGGGGTTTTCCCCAGGTCGTACCAAATTTAACACCAGGACTAGTTGCACATTATTTTTGAAGATTTTGCATGTATAACATAAACGATCATATTTGACAACTATTAGCATTAGCTAGCTATTGGGCACCATGGTGAAGACTAACCATTTTTGTCATATAGCTATTAATTTCACGGTATATTGTAGTACCTTCCTATTACCACGATGTGGCATTGTCGCTTATATTTATAATGCAGAATTGACTTTCTCAAAGTTACGTAGAAAAGTGCAATAAGCTTCCACTAAGAAATGTTAGGAAGAGCTAAACTGGAAACAATTTAAATTTGCTTATTAAGTATCAAAACTAGATTGAAAGGGAAATTGTGACAAGAATGAGATAGCAGAATGGTGCAGAAATTCAATGAGACAAGCTGTACACTTTTATGTTTTGAGAAATATTCCTGACAGATGGCTGGCAGCCTGTGGCTTGATCCTTTCTCATTTGACCAGTACCTAAAAATCATGAACTGGTTTACCCCAGTAATGAAAAGTGAGCAACATTGGAATGCAGCTATAGAAATAGCTGTAGCTGATGTGACCTCCTGGAAGACCTACAGGGTTCTGTGGAGAAAATTGCCAAATACTGGGGATTCTTTTCTAAATGATGTTTCTAAGTCACTTTTAAAAGAAAGCCTGGACACGTCAGGAAACCATTCACCCAGTATTATCTTCCCCTCTTATTGAATACCAATAAAACTAAACTGTACTAATTGTACCTTTTTGAGTACAAAAGTGGGCTGATACAGTGTCAAAAGTTTGGGTGGTGGGGAATTTGTGAAATGTGTTGAAAATTTTCTTTATCAATATTCCTACTAGACAAGGAGCAAAACTTGACCTTCTGTTAGGAAATAAAGAAGGGCAAGTAACTGCAATGTTAGTAAGGGAACATTTTGGACTAGCGATCATAGTTCTATTAGTTTTAAAATAGTTATGGAAACGAATAAGCCTTCCATAAAAGTTAAAGTTCTTAGTCGGAGTAAGACAAATTTTAATGATATGAGACAAGAACTTTCAAAAGTTGACTGGAATAGACTTTGCACGAAAGGGAAATGTGCCAAGTGGAAGGCTTTCAAAAATGTGATAATGCCTCTGAATTCTCGTGATGTTCCTGTTGTTGAGGCAAGGCTGGTAAGATTAGAGAACAATGGATGAAAAAAGATTGATATTCTAGTGAGGAATAAAAAAGAATCATGTAGTGGATATAGACAACTGGAATCAAATGAATTTCTTGAAGTGTATTAAGAGAGAAATCTGGAAGGCAAAGAGGGGATATGAGACAGCCTTGACAGATAAGGATAATCCAAAGAGATTCTACAAGTTCATTAAGAGCAACAAGAGAGAGTAGGGCCCCTCAAAAATCAATGAAGTCATCTTTGCGTTGAACTTCAGGAGATGGGAGAGGTATTAAATGAATATTTCATGTCAATTTTTACTCTGGAGAAAGAAATGGAGGCTAGAGAACTCGGGGGAAATAAATAGATGTTTTTAAAACAGTTCACATTGCAGAAGAGGATGTGCTAGAGGTCTTAAAAAAACATAAAGGCGGATAAATCTCCAGGAATTGATCAAGTGTATCCCATGACATTATGAGAAGTTAGGCAGGAAATTGCTGGTCTCCTTGCAGGAAACTCTGGTGGTTTTTTGATTACTGTTGAGTCAATAGCCTCGGTGCTAGCTTAATTGCTAATAGACCATTAGCTGTTATTTCATGAAGGGAAACTGGAGCTGATGTTGCTTTGTTGCAGGCCCCTTCATACTGGATCATAACATCTATTTAATGAAGAAGCCATAGTTTTGTTATGGAAATTAAGTAAAAGAGGACATACTGTGGCATGTATTTACTTTGTTCAGATTAAAGCTTGAAGCTTGTATGTCTTTCTGTTCAGTGTTTTTTTTAATCTTATCTAATTTTAGGTAGTTTGTTTCTTTCACACCACTTTAAGCCACCCATATCCCACACTTTTTTTTTTACCAATTGATAAAGACTGGGTACAGTTTAGTTTCATACACTTCCCTGTGCCACTGTGAACCCTTTAGTTACCCAATTCGACACAATGCGAATTCATCCGGAGTTCTCCAATTATGCTGGAAGTACTGTTGACCTGTTAGTTGACTACACTGAGATTGAACACAAGGTTTCAATGTGATTTGGTCAAGTTGCGTGTATGGACAAATGCATGATAGATGTAGTATAATGTGGGTAAATGAGAGGTTATCCACTTGGTAGCAAAAACAGTGATCAGTATGATGATAAATTAGGAAGGGGAGAGGTACAAGATAACCTGGATGTCCTTGTACACCGGTCACTGAAAATAAGCATGCAGGTGCAGCAGACGGTGAACACCTGAATGCCTTTCCTGATCCACTGTTGAGCCTTTCATTACCAATACTGATTCAGTCTGATTATTCCCAATTACAGGGAGCCCAGAACCAGGGGTCAAAAATGTAAGGATGTGAGGGTCAGCCATTTATCACCTGAGATAAGGGGAAATTTCTTCACCCAGAGAGTGGTGAGCCTGTGGAATTCTCTGCTACAGAAAGCGGTTGAGGTCAAACATTGAATGTTTTCAAGAAAGAGTTAGATATAGCCCTAAGGGCTAAAAGGGTCAAAGGATATATGGAGAAAGCGAGAACGAAGTAGTGAATTAGATGATCAGCCGTGATGATATTGGAGAAGGCTCAAAGGGCTGAATGGTGTTTTTTTTTTGTATGTTTCTATAATGGGGAATGATGTTAAGGATCGAGTTCAGAAGTAGAAAGTAAAATAGTACAATTCTTGATCTGTAATGTGGTGCATCACATAGTGGATATGAAACTTCAGAGGTGGAGATCTATCTGGAACACAACCTAAAGGGGTTGTAGCATCAGAATCCAAATGAATCTTCAGAAGGCAATTAGACATGTATTTGGAGAGGATTAATTTTCAGATTTAAGGGGAAAAGGCTGAAACTAAATGAACAGTTTTGTTTTCAAAGAACTGACGCAACATGATCAGCCAATGGCTGCCTCCTGTGTTTTAAAATTCCATGATAGGTGAGAGAAATGTGGAGAAACAGCAGGGTGCTCTAGATAGCAAGTATATATGCTTCGTCAGATCTCTCTGCTTCCTAGATAAATAGAATAACAAGGAAATAAGTATTAATTGATCAGTTTTTAAAAATGAAGTTGGGGATAAGACTGCTGTGACAGAGGGGGACAGTTTGAAAGTATCAGTTATAATTTATAAGTTCTGTGTGAGAACATGAAAGGATAATGACTCAAAACGTGTCCTGAAAAATAAAATAACTAGGGCTATAGAAAGGTACTAAACTATAAAAAAGGGTGGAGGCTTCTGAAGAAGGGACACGTAGGCTAGAAATCAAAAGGTTATGTTTGTATTGTAGGGCAGCTATTGAATTAATGGTGCCAGAGTAGGACAGAAGGGGACACAGTTTACCAACATTTTGTTTTTAGAAAGCAACAAATAAAGTCAAAGGACGATAAAAATGTAAAAGGGTAAAATTAATAGCTGTTTGTAATGAAAGTCACCACAGTCCCAGAGGACTGTTCTCTCTTCTCTCTTCAGAGAGAGAAAGAGATGACTGGTAGTGGTTTAAACTGAGAATCACCATGCCTCAGGCAATAGGAGAGGTTGCGAGGAGAGTCCTTCATGGTATCATCAGCTGTTGCAGGAATAGAACCAATGCTGTTAGCATCGCTTTGCATCACAAACCAGCTGTTCAGCCAAATGAACCAACCGACCCCCATCACCTCGGGCAGGGATGGCTGAGTGTGGGTTTGTGGAAGCAAAAATACAAAAGTACGAGGTAAGCTAATGGGGCTAAAAGCCACAAGGTACCCTGGACCTGATGGGTTGCACCCTATGTCAGTATAGGAAGTAATCACAGAGATAGTGGATGCGCTACCAGTACTTTTCCAAAAATCCTTAGGTTCTGGAAAAGTCCCACAGGATTGGAAAACTGCCAACATAACATGCCTTATTCAAAAAGGGCGGGAGACAAAAAAAGCTAACTATTAGCTAGTTAGCGTAACATCTATCATTGGGAAAATGTTAAGAGTTGATTGTAAAAGACGCAGTATGAGAGCACTTAGAAACATACAATGTAGTCAAGTGGGGGTCAGCATGGCTTCATGAAGGTTACATCATGACTGACATTGTCGCTGTTCTTATGGGAACTAATGAGCGGCATAGATGAAGGGGAAGCAGTAGATGAATTTACAAAAGATGTTTTGTAAGGTACCATGCATTAGGCTACTTAATAAGAGCCCATGGTGTTGAAGGTAGTATAGTAACATCGATAGAGATTGTCTTCTGATAGTTAGCCAGGTGGGATAAGAGGGCATTTTCAGTAACTATTGGAGTACTACAGGAGACAGTGCTAAAGCCACAGTTATTTACAATACATATTAATAACTTGAATGAGGAAAGTAAATGTACTATAGCCAAGTTTGCAGATGACATGAAAAATAGATGGGAAAGCAAATGGTGAGGATTGTAGAGATAGTAGGAACTGCAGATGCTGGAGAATCTGAGATAACAAGGCGTAGAGCTGGATGATCACAGCAGGCCAAGCAGCATCAGAGGAGCAGGAAAGCTGATGTTTCGGGCCTAGACCCTTTGAAGAAAACAGAGTTAATATTTTGAGAAGTGATGAACAGTCACTGAACTCGTGAGGTTATGCACTTTGGACAGGAACAATAGAGGAGCTGAATATTATTTGAATGGTGGAAGAACGCAGAAAGCTACACAGAGGATTTGGGAGTCCTTGTCCATAAATCATGAAATGCTAGCATCCAGGCTGGCATTCAGCTGGTAATAGGAAAAACATGTGGAATGTTGGCCTTTACTTCTGAGAGGATGGAGTATTAAAAATTGAGTGCCTTGCTAATACTGTACAAGGCACTATTTGGACCATACCTGGAATACTGTGAACAGTTTCTGTCCATTTTACCCAAGAAAAGACATACTAGCGTTCCAGAGAAAATTCACTCGGCTGATCCCAGTGTGGCCTGGGATTTCCTTATGAGAAGACATTGAGTAGGTTGGACCTGCGCACACGAATTTTGAAGAATGGAAGCCAACCTTATTGAAGCATACAGGCTTCTTAGGAGTTATTAGAGGCAGTTTCCCCTTTAGGAGACCTTCATGCAAGGAGAGCATGCCCTCAGAATAAGGGGTCAGCCATTTAAGACAATTGAGGAAATTCTTCTGAGATGGTAATGAATATGTGGAATTCTTTACCACAGAGGGTAATAGAGACTGGGTCACTGTATTTTGAAGGCTGAGGTAGACATTGTTAATCAGTAAGGGAGTCGTGACTTTAAAGGAAAAGGCAGGAAAGTGGAGTTGAGAATTATCAGATCAGCGATGATGTTATTGAATGGGAGAGCAGGCTCGATGACCTGAATGGCCTGCTCCTGCTGCTCCTATATCTTGTCCAAAATGTTAGATTTAAAAATGCAAAATTCAGTGAAATGAAAGATAAGCTACACAATAATTGGGCAACAACGTAATCAAACGGGTCCTAAAATTCAAAGTGGAAAATTATCAAGCATGAATGTGTAAAGTGTAAACTACACTGTAAAGCAAATAAAGCAAGAATTCTTTGGCTAGAAATTAATGTTAAACTGAAACATGGGAAAAATACCCATGAAGAAAAAAAAAACAGAAAAATATCATTAGGAATGCAGAAAATGGCGTGGTGCTACCTGGCAAAAGGAGATCAGAAGGATTCCAAGAGAATGTGGAAAAATTACTGGCAAACAATGGTGAAGTGAATTATTAATTTTATTAATATACAAGTGAATAAATATTTAGAGAGCAAAGCAGTTATGGATAAAACGGCCGGATCTAGTTACAGGACATGAAAGTATCAGATGAGCAATATTTTATATCAACTCCTAGGGTTGTTGAGGGAAGTAAGAATGTACATGTTATGGTGGAGGATTTGGAACAATTGATTGAATTAACCACACAAGTCAGTTGATGCCAATCGCAGGTGCCTTGGTCTATTGGATGAAATTTAAGCGTGACTACAATGACATTGGCTGCAATTTTTAACCATCTTTCCAGACACATGGCACAGCATGTATATTGAGATATAAAACACTTCAAGGATAAAGAGAAATGTATAGTTCCAGTGGAAAAACATGTCAAAAACCACAACAGAGTTTAATGGCATTGAATCATCGGCAATCTCTCTCTCTAACGAGTATGATTGTTCACCTAGCCACCTAAAAATTCTTAAGATTTTTGACAAAGTGATTATGAAAAGCCTACTTTTTCAGGGTGGGGAGTTAGTGAAATGGGGCCACTGTTTAAATTTATTAAGAGGATGCAGAAAAGACGTTTTGAAGCATGTTATAGAGTTGATGAGGCAGAGACCATTACAGAAAGGGTTCGGGGAAGAAAGCAGAATATGTTTTGCTCAAGTATAGAACCTACATAAGTGTTATGGGGCCAAATTACTTTGATTCGTGTTGCAAATGTCTGTGGTTCTATGTTGTACCGTTACTTACAATTTTCTCTTTTAAATCTTTACCAGAACACTCTAGTCCTAGAGCCTCTACATTTTCTACAGAGCCACAGCAGGGATAATAATCCCAAGGATTTAAGTACTCAGCTTTGGGCCTGTGCTTTTGAACCAGAAATAAAGAATTCTCAGATTCCAGGTGATGTAATACAATTGGAACATAAATAACACATAATGTTGACAGTACAATTTGAGTTTTTTTAAAAGTACTTTAAATGTAATTATTTAGGCACCTTAAGTGAAACTGTGTGCACAGTACCTGCAAATATTGAAATTTATTTGACTGGACCTTTTTTGTCATTGGAAATTCTTAGTGTATCATGTATTTTGATTTTAACAATACTTTTGGCAATGTGTTACACCAGAAAAATGTTCCAAATATGAGAATAAAAATCAAGCTTCTAATGGAATAAAAGTTGAGCTCCTATAAGATAGATTGAAAATAGGTTGAACTACAAACAGAGGATGGTTGTGAATTGAATTCCATCAACAAGGCAAGACGGTCATTGTCTTGATCACTGGGTCTGTTGATATTTCTTATGGGCTTTTTGTTTTCCAAATGATTTGAAGCTGGAGTTAAAAACAAAACTAAATTTGCAAACCACACCAGATCTCAACCAGTAGAAAGGAACAAACAAAATACAAATTCATATAAGCATGTTGGTAAGGTGGTCTGGTGAGTGGCAAATGGTATTTAATGTGGACAAATTTGGAGGCAGTAAGACTAGGAATGAGATTTAGAGTAGGAATATAAAGTTAAAAGGTGCTGAATCTTGTGATGTATTGGCTAAGTGTCAGTTTCATTGAGTTTCACTTAGGGTTTCTGTCCATTAGGCCTGGCAAGAATTATTTCCGCATCGTCTCAAACTTGCCTCATTTAACTGCCTACCTGCCTCTATGGTACCCCTCCTGGTCCTTTTGCTAACCCTGTTCTACCACTTGCTATAACCAGAAAAACTTGCCATTCATCTATGATCCCAAAGTGTATTTGCATGCCTGGAATCTATGCCATCATTAAAATGCTATTATAGACTGGATGAGGATTGGCATTCCAATGCTATCCTGCACAGTTCCAAATCCGGGAGAATCCCTGGAAATGGTATACAAAGGAAAATTGGTGCCTTACGTTGCTTGGATGTCTTGGTCAGTGGGGTGGTGCAGAAGAGGGATGTCCTCTTTCCCAGCACTTTCAGGAAGGCCTCACCATCAGACCCTGCCAGTCTGGTTCAAGGTAGCCACCTGGGCCTCTGCAGTCCTAACTGTCTGGAGGAATGCCCATCAGTGCTGTAAAAAGGTCAATGACCTTCTCCACTTGGTTGGATACAACTCCCTGCCCCCATAAATGTCCCACACTGTGGGGACACACACTACAAACACTGTGTGCCTTCTACACTGCCCACCTCATTCACTCTGAACATCCACACCTATCTCCCACATGCACTTGGTCTAACAGCAACCTACTTTCACCTCACTTAATCACTCTATTTATCTTATCCAGGAAAAGGCAGCCTGGGTAGATAGTGAGCTACACAATATTAGGATCCTCACCCTTCACCATAAGAACCATTCTTCATTCCAGTGCATCACTCACCTTAAACCTAAGATTGCTGAATGTAGATCCCTAGGGTAGCCATCAACTTGACTGTGGAGGCCATCAGATGATCGAATGCAGCCTCTAAGCTGCAAGGGCCACTGCCTCTCTCATTACCTACCTGGTGCTCCTTTGTCTGCTCGTGCATGTTAGTCTCATTCATTGCACACAACTTATTTCACTGGACTGCAAAGCCTTCTCCCTTTTGTATCCTGCATGTTGAAGTGGGATGTCCACTATCTCGGTGGCCAAGCAAGCTGCCCTACAATAAAGACCTTCCACCACCTCTTCACGAGAGTTCAGAGGTCTCAGAGGAAGCTTCGGCAAGGCTGCCTCCTGCAACCCCCCACCATCGCTGATACTGCCACCGGTGGCAGTGTTTAGTCAATTTACATCGGGGCACAGGCAGATGAGCATATCACTGTCACAATTCCAGAGGTGGTCAAAGAAGAAATGCCTCTGGTTGCTGGCACTTGGGAGACTGCTGGAAGCCAGGCGCCTGCTCATCCCCAGGCAGGAGAGGACCCTGTAGTTTGGCAATCAGGGACTCTGTGCACATGCACAAGCAGACACAGGAAAAATAGACAAATATATGGGAGGTGGTGGCCCTCATAGCCTAGAGGCTGCAGGATCTAGCCGCAGCAAGTATGCGATCATCTGATGGCCTCCATGGACCAACTCTAGGATGTTAATTTTCGGGCCTTGGTGATTTATCAGCCTTCAAACCTAGCAATTTCCCCAATATCCTTTCTCTACTAATACAGGTTTGCTTCATTTCGTCAATTTCACTAAACCCTGCATTCTATATGATTTCTGGTACGTTATTCATGTTCTCTTTTGTGAAGACAGAAGCTAAGTATCAATTTAGTTCATCAGCCATTTCTTTGTTCCCCATTTATAAATTACTGATTTCTGACTAAAGAACTTGCATTAGTCTTCAATTGTTTTCTCTTTACATATCTACTGAAACTTCTATAGTCTGTTCTTGTGTCCCCAGTAAGCTTACTCTCATACTGTATTTTCCCCTTGTTAATCAATCGCTTGGTTTATCTTTGCTGATTTCTAAACGATTCCCAATCCTCGGATCTATTTTTTCTTTTGCCACCCAGCTCCAATTTTGTGAGGTAACAGTACCAGGTGTGCTTGTGCTGTCGCTCCTTGGAAGCCAGGGTGATTCTTACTGTTAACAAGCACCCCTCCCCTCCCAATTGCCCCTATTATCATTCATGATTTATCATAAACCCTTGTTATATACACAATTGACCCATTTACAATTGTCATGCCTCCTGGTATGCAGCTTTTAATCCTTATAACTGGGTTTCCCAGTTTCCTCCTCGCAGCAATGGTCCCCACCCCATTCGCCTCCCAATTTTTCTTATCTCTTGTCTTCGTTGGACAGATGGAACGGACTGACTGTGACCTAACCAGACAGCTGTAGACAATAAGTGCCCACACCCCTGACTGATGCCTTTACATTTTCCTGACTGTGGGTGCTTATTCCTGGATTGGCCAACAAGGGGCTATGTGGCTGAATATGACCCACTCCTGGACGGCAAGAGCCATAGATCCCTGGACCGAGAGCACCCAAAAATCAGTGCCACAGGGATCCGTGCTGGTGTCACAATTATTTGCAATGTTTGTTAATAACTTTGAGAAAAGTGAATGTATTAGAGCCGAATTTGCAGATTGGTAAATGGTGACAATGACATAGTCTGCAGAGGGGTATGGACAGGTTAAGTGAGTAGGCCAAAAAACTTGGCAGATGGAACATAATGTGGGGAAGAAATGAGGTTACGTACTTTGGTAGGAAGAGTAGAGGAGTTGAAGATTATTTAAATGGGGAGGCAATGGCCTAATCATACTATCAGTTTCCCATGTGGAATTCTTTAATGCAGTGAATTGTAAAGCCTGGGCCATTAGTATATTCAGGGTTGAGGTAGACAAATTTTTAATCCATAATGGAATAGAGGGTTATGGGGATTAAAAAAACGAAAGTGGAGTTTGTCAGATCAGCCATGGTCTCTTTGAATGGTGGAGCATCACACACTCAATGAGCTGAATGGTCTACTACTCTTATGTCTTATGGGTCCTTGCAGTGCTAATTGTCGATTTGTGCTCTGAAGTGCAGAAGCGTTCTGCAGATGGATCAGAGAGATGCAGCAAGGTCGTGATAGGCTGGAAGGTGTCAGATGCCAGTATCTGTGGACTGTATGATGTGTGTAGCTAGTGCCTCGAGATGTTGCTGGTGGCCTGATAGAGGAAGCAGCAAGATGTTATACCCACTCTGACTTTCATGTTTGGAATTGTCAACACCTAGTTTCCTCTGGTGGGTGATTTGAATCTGCATATTAATGAGGCAAGATTTGTTGTTAATGAGTGTGTTAACAGCGATAATCCCTTTACTCAACATCTCTCTGCTTCCTAGCAAGAATCTTGTCTTAACGCTTAATGTTTAAAATTCAATGAGTTGCTCCCAACGTCACGGAAAGCCTTTTTGTCTGACTCCTCACACAATTCTCCCACATTTCCTGACATAGCCCACATTGTTCACATCTAACGTTTCACTGAATGCCTCTAGAAAAGACCACAGTAGAAGAGATGAATATGGAAGTACTGAAGGATGGCTGACTTAAATCAGAAGTACGTGATTGGATCTACATATGACACTGTTTTGACTACACCTGGAGTTGTCTAGAATTCTGGTCACAATAGCACTGGGAAAATTCAGGCATTTAGAAGAAATGCAAAATGCAGACTGTGATTATTTATTCTGGTACAGACTTTAGGGAGCTATCATTCAACTCTATTCAAGATACTTTAGCTGCAAATACATCAAGGATAAGAGAACTGTATACTTCTACAAACTCAAGAACTAGGAAACTTTACCTGTACTTTAGAAAGCAAATGATGGGTGAATAGATTTGATATAATGAGCATTGGGGGTAAGCATAATCAAAGGGGAAATTGGCCACACGAGAAACTAAGCTTGTACATTTTTCTTTAATATTCTAACCACAATGCTGAAAGGATTTTTGTTTTCCAAATGCAACTTTTAAAATGTTGCTTTTCCGTGGTGCAGTACCTGAGAGAAAACGGTCCACCTGGAAACGGTTCCTCATGTACTGCACCAAGGAAAATCAACATTGGATCTCTGTCCCCAAAACATGATGCTAGAAGTTCCCAAGTAGGCAGTACTGAGGCTACCTAGTCATTCAAATGAGATGCAGTGACATTCCTACCATGCCATCACATTCTATCATCATTTTTTAACAGTTGGATGTACACGGGGACCAGCATTTGGAAAACCATTCATTGGGTCCACAGAGATCTCAAGTGAACAGTCTGAAAATGAGTTCACAAACAAAGTTGAGTAGGAATCCAAATGGGATCTAAAATTTATTTCCCTTTTTCTGAGTGACCCTAATGTCATGAGGTCTTTAACTGCCATTGCACTTTGTGAATGAACAGGCATTTGAAATTAAAGTCCTGATGAAGGGTGTAAACCCGAAATGTCGACTTTCCTGCTTCTGTAATGCTGCCTGACCTGCTGTGTTCCTCCAACTCTACACTGTATTGACTCTCACTTCAGCATCTGCAGTTCTTGCTACACAGGAATTAAATTCATGTATCTTTGGAATTGGATACTCCCAGTCTTTCACCTCTATCACCCCTAAAATGAACCTGTTTTGAGAATTCTTTTTATTTATGTCTTCAGTTATTGTGAACAGGTTTCATGTGGGATGTTAGCAGACATTTAACCTTTGATACTGTCATAGAGAAGAATGATGTAGATCATATTCAATGTGCTTTAATTCTGGCTGTGTCAAATTTCTGGACAGCTCAGGTTCCACAACAGACAAAACAAAAATCAGTGTCATTAGTGCTAACTTCACGTTACTCTCATAACTGGTTTGGTGGAACAGTGAGGCCAAGGCGCAAGTTATCCACTTTCTCATGAGGTATATAAAAATCTGGATTCCCAACTTGTACCCCACGTGACTCTTGCCCTTTAGTTCGACTCTTATGGCTGTTACAGCTCTAGACATTTGAACACAGGACTGAGCAATTGAAAAACACCATTCCCCCTTGTTAGTGGAACTCAAAATTGGGAAGCAACATTTCACAATCCTTAGCTCAACATTTAAAAATCCAAAGCTATTGAATAAAAAAAAATCCCACATCAAAAGATTTCTGAGCCAGAGAGAGCTGTGTCCATGAACTTAATGGAGCTTGACGGTGTAGGTGGTCTTTTGCATGTTGTAAAAATATGAAAACAAGAGTTACAGTGCAAGAGACGTCCTAATTGAAACTGTTCTGAGGTTGTTTGGGTGATGCTCTGCAGGACTAAATATAAAATAATTCCTGCATGTAAACTTTAAATTAATTAAAACAATAGAAATTCCAGTTATAGGAAAGTAACAATTAATCTGACTTCTGTGAATAGTCAAGTAGTTATGGAATCATACAGCATGGAAACAGACCCTTTGGTCCAACTCATCGGCACTAACCAGTCATCCCAATTTGACGGTGTCCCATGTAGAGTCATACAGCGTGGAAACAGACCCTTCAGTCCAACTAGTCCACACCGACCATGTTCCCAGACAAAACTAGTGCCACCCGCCTGCATTTGGCCCATATCTCTCCAGACCTTTCCCATTCATGTGCTTTATCCAAATATCTTTTAAACATTGTAACATACCTGTATCCACCACTTTTCTGGCAATTCGTTCCACACATTAACCACACACTGTTTAAAAAATGACAGTTGCCCTTGTCCTTTTTTAAATCTTTCTCCTCTCACTTTAAATCTATGCCCTCCAGTTTTGTACTCCCCAAGTAGGAAAAAGACCTTGGCTATTCACTCTATCCATGCCCCTCATGATTTTATAAATCTCTTTCAGGTCACCCCTCAGCCTCCAACACTCCAGGGAAAATCACCCCACCCTATTCAGCCTCCCTTATAACTCAAACCCTCCAGTCCTGGCACATCCTTGTAAATCTTTTCTGGAGCACTCAATTTTAACAACTTCCTTCCTATAGAAGGGTGACCAGAATTGTACACCATATTCTACAAGTAGCCTCACCAACGTCCTGTACAGTTTCAGCATGATGTCTCAACTGTTTTATGCTCCGTGTTCTGACCAATGAAGGCAAGCATACCAAACGTTGCCTTCTCCACCCTGTCTACCTGTGACCCCATTTTCAAGAAACTATGCACTGGCACCCCTAAGTCTCTGTTTTGGCAACACTCTCCAGGGCCCTACCATTAACGGTACGGATCCTGCCCTGGTTTGCCTTACCAAAATGCAACACCTGACGTTTATCTAAATTGATCTCCATCTGCCACTCCTGGGCCCATTGGCCCATCTGATCAAGGTCCCATTGTACTCTGAGATAATCTTCTTCACTGTCCTCTACAGCTCCTATTTTGGTGTCATCTGCAAACTTACTAACCATACCTCCGATTATTAACATCCAAATAATTTGTATAAATGATGAAAAGCACTGGACCCAGCACTGATCTTTGTGGCACACCACTGGTCACAGGCTTCCAGTTTGAAAAGCAACTCGTTAGTACCACCCTCTGTCTCCTGCCTTAAGCCACTTTAGGATCCATTGTGATTCCTGTTGGGAATTGGGTACAATGTGATCTAACCTTACCAACCAGTCTACTATGCAGAACATTGTCGAACGGTTTACTGAAGTCCATACAGACAACATCTAATGCTCTGCCTTTATCCTTTGTTACCCCTTTAAAAAAAACTCAATCAAGTTAGTTAGGCATGATTTCCCATGCACAATTCCATGTTGACTATCCTTTAATCAGTCCTTGCTTTTCCAAATGCATGTACGAATGAAAAAATTGCATTTTTCGGCACAACATCGTGGGCCAAAGGGCCTGTACTGTGCTATACTGTTCTATGTTCTATGTATGTTCTGTCCTCAGAATCCCCTTCAACAACTAATCTGCAACTGAAGTAAAGCTCACCGGTCTATAGTTCCCTGGCTTTTCTTTACAGCCATTTACTCTCAGTTTTTTGACATTTTTAAAAATCATCATGGAAAATGTATGTCTTCAAGAACTGGGAATGCCTTGTATTAAGTGATTTTATCTCACGTAGGGCTGGAGTCATCTCGGTCTGTTGCTACTTGTGGAGGGGATTCAGTTTGCATCATTGACTGTGAAACTGGAATTGTCCGTCATAAGTATAAGTCAGTTGGAGAAGTGAGTACAGTTATACAGGTTGTCCACCCAGAGCTATAGGATATTGCCTGTGCATTTTGTGCAAAGCTCTTTCTCTTTGACCTTTTTTTTTGCATTTGGAGTAAACATCTAACCTGTTGGGAATCAGAGTAAACACAGATATAAGATATATTATAAACTTGGGGAATATAGTTAAACCAATGACTTGGGATATTAAAAAATTTCCTATTTGTTTCTTATGCAAAATATGCATTTAGTCAAATATTTAAGTGTGCAGACTAAGATTTTGGACTATAATTATGATATGCATAAAACAAAATGTACTGTCCAGTATTAACATGGGTGAGATGTGAAACACTATTTTGTTAGTGTCTAAGTTAGTTTCTGTGCCAGAAAGTTTTCTTTTTTCGTTTGTACTCAGTGGCTAGTAATGGTCATCCACTGAGGGATTAGTGTATCAATAATATGGTTAAAGTGATAAGATTCTAATTGTTTTATATTATTTTTCTCAGGAATTCTTTTCCCTTGCTTGGACAACCTTAACTGTGTTTGATAAGAATCAGAAAAGAAACCTCAATGTGTTAGCTATAGGTGGAAAGATGGGTGCTGTAAAGCTGATTCATGTAAAAGTGAGTTACTGCTATGGAATGATAAAGGCTCACAAAAAAGCTATCTCAACTCTCTGCTTTTCTCCAAAACATGAGACGTTTCTCTTCAGTAAGTATTGAATTTTCTATGGATGCACTTTAAGGTCTTTTTCTTGCACTGAGAAAGGAGACCAAGTCTTAGGTTTTTTTTAAAATCTAATTTGAAGGTGAGGGCAACATATTAGTTGTACTTGGGTAACACCGTGTGGAGCTGGAGGAACACAGCAGGCCAGGCAGCATCAGAGGAGCAGAAGAGTTGACATTTTGGATCAGGACTCTTCTGCAGAAATGGGGGAGGGGGAAAGAGAGGTGGGAAATGAATAGAGAGAGGAGAGTGGGGCTGGGGAAGGTAGGTGGCATGGTGATTGGTGAGTACAGGTAGGGAGTGGTGGGGATTGGTCAGTGAAGTGGGAGGAGTGGATAGGTGGGAGAGAAGATGGACAGGTTGTGTCAGGTCAAGAAGGCGGAGATGAGAGGGACGGTTGGTCATGGGATGAAGCCAGGGGTGGGGAGATTTTGAAACTGGTAAAGTCCACATTTAGGCCATTGAGCTGTAGGCTGCCAAGGCAGAGTGCGAGGTGCTGCTCCTCCAGTTTCCAGGTGGCGTCGTTGTGACACTAGAGGAGGCCCAGGATGGACATGTCACCCAGGGAGTGGGAGGGAGAGTTGAAATGGTTCATGACCGGAAGGTGTTGTCATTTGTTGCGAACAGAGTGCAGGTGCTTTACAAAGCAGTCTCCGAGCCTCCGCTTGGTTTCACCGATGTAGAGGAAGCCACATCAGGTGCAGCGGATGCAATAGACCACATTGACGAGCGATCAGGTGAACCTGTGTCTGATGTGAAAAGTTTGTTTGGTGCCTTGAATGGACGTGAGGGGGGAGGTGTAGGGGCAGGTGTAGCACTTCCTGCGGTTGCAGGGAAAGGTGGTGGGGCTAGTGGGAAGTATGGAGCAGACGAGGGAGTTGCAGAGACCGCAGTCCCTACAAAAGGCAGATGGGGTGGGGAAGGAAATATCTGTTTGGTTGTGGAGATGGATTTTAGGCGGCGGAAGTGGCGGAGAATGGTACGTTGGATACAGAGGTTAGAAGGGTGATATGTGAGGACAAGGGGTATTCTGTCTTTGTGGGGGAGGGGATGTGAGGGCAGAGGTGCGGAAAACACAAGCGATCCGGTCGAAAGCATTTTCAACCACCGACGGGGGAAGTTGCAGTCCTTGAAATGAGAGGACATCTGGGATGTTTGTGAGTCAAACACCCCATCTTGGGAGCAGACTTGGCAGAGGCGGAGGAATTGAGAGTAGGGGTTCGCATTCTTGCAGGAAGGTGGATGAGAGGAGGTGTAGTCTAAGTAGCTGTGGGAGTTGGTGGGCTTGAAATGGATGTCCGTTTTGGGGCGGTCACCAGAGATGGAGACAGAAAGGTCCAAGAAGGAGAGAGCGGTATCAGAGATGGTCCAGGTGAACTTGAGGTTGGGGTGAAAGGTGTTAGTAAAGCTCCTCGTGGGAGCACAAGGCAGCACTAATAAAGTCATCGATGTAGCGGAGGAAGAGGTGGGGGTAGTGCCAGCGTAGCAACGGAAGAGGGACTGTTCCACGTATCTCAAGAAGAGGCAGGCATAGCTTGGGCCCATGCAGGTTCCCATGGCCACACCCTTGGTCTGTAGGAAGTGGGAGGAGTTGAAGGAGAAGTTGTTAAGGGTAAGGATGAATTCGGTTAAACTGATAAGGGTGTCGGTGGAGGGAGAAGGAGGGGGAATGCGAGAGAGGAAAAAGCAGGGGGGTTTTTGGCCATCCACGCAGGGAATGCAAGTGTACAGGTCCATAGTGATGTCCATAGATGTCCATAGTGAAGATGAGTGTTGGGGGGCCAGGGAATTGGAAGTCTTGGAGGAGGTGGAGGTGGGTAGTGTCCCCGATGTAGGTGGGGAGTTCCTGGACCCGGGGGGAGAAAACAGAGTCAAGGTAAGCAGAGATAAGTTCAGTGGAGTAGGAACAGGCAGAGACAATGGTTTGGCCAGGACAGTCAGGTTTGTGGAATTTGGGAAGGAGATAGAAATGGGTGGTACATGGTTGGGGAACGATAAGGTTGGAAGCAGTGAGTGGGAGGTCACCTGAGGTGATGAGGTTGTGGATGGTTTGAGAGATGTTTTGGTGGTCAGGGGTGAGATCATGATCTAGGGAGTGGTAGGAGGAGGTGTCAGAGAGTTGGCATCTGGCCTCAGCTATGTAAAGGTCAGTGTGGCATACCACCACTGCCCCCTTTATCTGCAGGTTTGATAGTGAGGTTAGGGTTGGAGTGGAGGGCTACAGGTTCTGTAGGGAAGAGGTGGAGAGGTTGAGGCGATCGATGTCGTGACAGCAGTTGGAGATGAAGACATCGAGGGAGGGGAAGAGGCCTTGGGACGGTGTCCAGAAGGATGGGGCGTGTTGGAGGCGGGAGAAGAGGTCTATAGAGGGTGGGTTAGACTCCGGGTTAAAGAAATAGGCACGGAGTCGGTGGAAAAAGAGTTCATTGTCCAAGCGTGAACGGAATTCATTGATGTGTGGGCAGAGGGGAATGAAGATGAGTCCTTTACTGAGGACTGACCATTCACCCTCAGTGAGGAGGAGGTCTGGGGGTATGGTGAATACCCAGCAGGGCTTGGGTCTTGGTCTGGGGCTGGGACTGGGTGTAGAGCTAGTGGCTGGGTTGTTGTACAGTTATCTTTAGACTAGTTGACAAGATCTGCTAAAATAAGACAGACTTAAAGTTGTTTGTGTATATAGGATCACAGAGGTTTACAGCACAGCCACTCAAATCAGCATTTAAGACATTTCTCTGAAGTCATTCTAATAGTTTGAAACTGATGAAGTCTTGTTATTAACCATTCAGAATTTTTTTTTCTTTAAATCCTCTCGATCTGTCCCAGTGCAAATCTAATCTCAATATCTCTTCTTGCCTCATAACATTTTAATGACAACCTTTATCTATGGTGTACTATATTCAATGAATATTAAATGGAATTATGTTCTGGACAGGAAAGTCCATGGCCAGTGACTGCCAATTGTGGCCAATTAAGAACCTTAGTCTAATTCTGCCTGTCAAAATGCAGGTTCTTCCAAAGGCTCAAAGAATGCAGGCTGCTTATCGCCAGGGAACTTTTCACTGTTTCATTGACTGGCCACACAGCTTTTTTTAACATCTAATTTGTATCAAATTGCTCATCATCCTGAACTTTCTCTTTTCAGGTCCAACATCTTACCTTTTGACTCTTCATTATCTTTTTTATTTTTAACTGATGGTTTAATTGTCCTACTTCATTTCCCAGACAAGTACCATTTAAATTTGTATTCTTTGTCAGGCTAGGAACAGCAGATTTGGGAAGAACTCCAACAGAGGAGAAGCCATGTTCCCTTTCTCAAAATGAATTGAAGACACCCCCTTAGGGTCTGTCTTCATTCATTGACCTATAGAGTTTTAAAGGACCTGCCTCTCCTGAAACACCTCATCCACTGCCAACCTGGCTCTGCTCATCCCTTGTGACATATCACACTCTTTCTTTCTTCTCTCCCTCTCTCTCTTTTCACCTATCTTTTCTTTTCCCCCAAGTCCACTCCCATTTTCACACCATAGCACAAGTTACCACCTCCCCCATGCCCCTAACCTGGCATAGCTCACTCCCAACTGCCATGCCTCTCCCTCCCCCTCCACAAACCCATTTGTGACACTGTTCACCCACCCCTTTCTCTCACCCCCCTGTAATTTTTCAGCATCCCTGCACACATCCAACAATGCTCAACTTCCCTATTCACAAAATGTGCACTCTACATCAAACCCAACCACACCATACAATGTTCATCCTCTGTTTAGTTTAAACCATTCTCTTGCTCCTCAACAGTGCTCACTCTGATCCCCTGCAATTCTAACATTATCATACTTCCACACCCAATATACACCCTTTCTCCAATCCCCCAACAATGTTCACAATCCCTCCCTCCTCTCTCCCCAAAGAATGTTCACACTGCCTCCTTCATACCCCTCTGACAATGTTCATACTTCCTCCCTCAGCATTTCTGTCATAATGTTCATTTTTTCAGCTGTTTATAACGTTGTCCATATAAAGACATCTTACTTTTCATTTTGTAGCAATTGAACTAATCATTGCTTTTCATGCAAAGACTCCTGCTTGAGTACTTGTTTGGGTGATAGAGGTTGTAGTTCATCTCCCAATAAACATTTGTGGAATATAGGTAGTTGTTGAGATCATAATCAGAGATAGATCCTATCTATTTAATTGGGATTTTTCATCATTCCCACTGTTCTTATCGATTTAACATAGAGGCTGTCGCCGCAGGTGAAAAGAGAGGAATATCAGTGTATGTTTATAGAACAAGACCTATTGAATAATGGTGTGAAGAATATTTAATTGATTGAAATGCCCCTTCTTTGACATTGACATTCACTGAGTGAGTGGAATCCGAGACTCCCCTTCTTAAACAGCTATTTTTTTTGAGAGTTCTTGGCATGCACTACTGACTTGTTGAATTTCATAATTTTTAAAAATCCCATGGAACCAGTTTAGCTTAATATTAGAATCACGGTGCACCAGATCAGTCAGCATTAAAATATACTGTTGACGTACACAAAATAATGGTAACAGCAGGGTCCTAAAAGCCATCTGTTCAAGTAGATATAATTTAGGAGTGTCCTCCTCACCTGCCTAAATGTTTTAGATTATAATGCTTTAATTCATTTTCTTTAACCAGCTGGATCCTATGATAAAACCATCATCTTGTGGGATATTGGTGTTCCAGATTGTGATTATAACTTCAGAGTGAGGTAAATGTAGTGCAGATTTACTAAGTGAATAGAAACAGTATTTTTAAATATGACACTATTTGTTCATCTATTGCTGTTTCAAAGGACACTGTGTACATGAAAATCATCTTTTACAAATTTTTGGTTTCAAGACAGTGGAGAAACATGCTTGTTTTAAATAGGTGACTCAATGAAGAGTTTCGATGCTTTGATTTATAAACTAACTGCTTGGATGGCCTTCCCATGGATTTTTCATGAATCAGTTGCATCAGAATTACAATTGTAATTATAGGGAAGTTAGCAGTTATTGTGCTGCACTGAGGATTTGTGGCATTGTCAGGCTGCAGCACATTCATTTTTGACAATAAGGAGGAAATCAATAAGGTGAGCTTTCAGACGAGGCAGTTGAGGAAGAAAGCAACTTGCTGGGAGGTCACTGTGTGCTATTGGTGGGATTGGCTGTCAGAGTGTTGGGCAGTGCCCACTCTAATCTTTCTCTGTCAACAACAGACTGTGGGTTGGGCAGAGACAATTGTGCATCTGTGATCCCCACAACTACCTGTAGCACATCTGTCTGGCAAAGAGAGGGAGCAGCAGTAAGTGACTTTAAAAATGAAAAGATATATTGTATAAAAAAGTTGAACAAGAATAAGTGAATGCAAAATATCTGAAAGAAAAATGCCAAAATTTAGAATATTTAAGAGGTCTGACAAATATGTGAAATCAAGTCAAAAATTGAAAAATATTATCTGGAATAGGAAATGAAAAGAAAAACTTAACAGCTGAATGGAAATTTTTTAAAAAATTATTTTAAATGTTAAAAACTACTCAGTCGGCAAAGTACATCTTTGGAGCTGAGGGAACTATAATGTTCCATGGCCTATTCAATGGCTAAAATATTCAAACTTGTGCAATATTTTGCCACATTCCTTCTTGCCAGATATTGTGTGTCACAAACATTGTGACAGCACCATGTCAGCTGTAACATGCAAAATACCTGTGTGTCATCGACAGACTAAAGGTAAATAGAGACACTTTTGTATTGTGTTTTAAAATGGAGTGCCATGCATCATATACGAGATTAATATTTAATAGTTATGAAGCACTGTTGGACATGCTGGCAGAGTAAATTAGGCTTTGGTTAAATGCTAATGCAAAATCAGAATACCGAAAGGGATGCCTGATTGAACCTTTGGCACCTGCTGGCCTTCCCCGTGACTGAAGTCCTCTGTTCGGCAAGTTTCCCCTGCTGACAGCTGCTGGTCAATCCAAGATCTGCAAGCTCCTCACGCAATCAAAAAAGCAGGACCTATAGCTGCTGCCAGACCTGGACCTGAACCTGGATCATTGTGGGACCACAGACTGAAAGTGAGCAAAGGCAAGGAGGCGGGTTGTAGGAAAATTGGAAGGATGGTCATAAGGAAAATGTTAGATTTTAATTACTAGCACCTTGACAATGTCAGGTCCTTCGATTAGAAGCAGAGTCGCTGATAACAAAGTCCCTCATGTGGGAGGCCCTCTGTCAAACCCAATTTAGTTTGCTGGGGGGTCCTCTGAGGATGTGTGAAAGCTGTCGGCTCCCATTTAATCCCCAAGTCACCATTAAATTGTGAGCTCTAGAATAATGGGTGCCAGTTGGCTCATTAATGTCTCCCTGTTACATCTGACATCCCACTTAACCAGGGGATAGTTTGTCACTGCCAAGAGTCTGACATAGGGAATCTCTCACAATTCAGTGGGCCCAGCTGCCATATTTCCCACTGCGACGGACAGCATTAAAGCCAGCTTAATGTTTCGAGTAAAATCCTTAGTTGTCTCTTTTAAAGGTTTTTGAACTAAAATGTTAACTCCATATAAATGTGTTCCTTCATTATGATTTTATTTAAAATTGTACATATGTCATTGATTGGATTATTATATGGTATATTAAACGTAATATCTAGTCTGTGAGTAACATACTTACAAAAGGAATGAAAGCACATATTCTGCAGCTTTGGTAGAAGCTCACAGACTTCTTCCTGATATGGCCCCAGTTTAATGCCTCAAATTGCATATGACACGGGAGTGAAAATTGCGCAGAGAGGGATAAGGGAATTTTTGAGTCGAGGTTGGGAGAGTTATTGAGTATGGAGAATAGGGAAAGCTTTGTTAGGCAGCACTTTAAAACTACTGGTTTTACCCTGAGGAAAGGTGAAGACCCACTTTTTAAAGGCTGCGGTGGTGGCAGCAATTGAGCCACAGAGTGCAAACAATTAAAACATGCTCACCAACAGGAAGAAACCAAACATGTAAATAAGCTTTGCAACTGTCCAAGCTCCATGGTTGCCATTGGTGCTTTGTAGCTTGCAACCCATAAACCTCCCACTGAGGGTCATAACTCCGTTTTGGAGCCCCTGTATTAATGGATTTGCAACTGCGCCATGTTCTAGAGGAGAGTTTTATTTTTAAGGATTTTTTTTTCTTTGGGAACAGAGGGACTTGTAACTGTTCTGACTAATTCCAATGATCGTTTTGTTCTCATTGTAATAGTCGGTTGCTGGTTTTGAAAGTTTGTTCAACCCCTTTGAAGATGAGTGTTGTTCCAACCTGCCCTGATCAATACCTTGTGGCTGCTTGCGAAGGCGGATGCTTTGCCTGGGATATCTCACTAACTAACTATGAGAGCAAAAGGTGAGTAGTTTACTTTGCATATTGATATTTAATGACATTTGTGATAAATATGTACTATCCCTGCTGAAACCTCTGACCCTTACTGAGTGTAATCTCGTGGATAGCAGTGATCCTCTTTATTTAAAAGCCTGCAATACTTCTGCAGTTTCATGTATCTTTGTCTCTGCATCTTCCAGCATGGTTTTCCAACATTGTGTATAACGGGTCTTCACTTACAATGCACACACCCACTACTCACATACCATCCCCACGCCAATGCACCCCACTCCTACATGCATGCACACACACCACACCTACACACACAACCCCACCCTTGTACCTGCAATTTGGAAAGCTCTTCTGAAACCGCTTAGCCTTGGTACATCTGCCTCACCTTCAAGTGCCTCCTGAAAGGCTGTATGTTTCTGTTTGTTCATCTCCTGTAACTATTTAGCCACAGCTTACCTGCTGGGCTCTGATTGCCAATAAATTGCCTTTAAGATAGGCCAAATGTAAATTTAAGTCAATGACTTATCGTTGTGCATTCTTTAAACATAACAGCAATTAATTTGGGAATTCTTATGTTACTATTAAATGAAATTTCATGTTCCTAATTATGCTCCAAATTGAATTCCAAATACCAGTTCAACTATGTTTTGACTGTACAATAAAGTCAGTTTTAAAAACTTACTCTTGGGATTGCCATTGGTTGCTTTTTCTCAGTACTGCAGCACCAATTCTATTGCCACACTGGCTGAGGTCGCCATGGAGGTCCTACCACCTTAACCTTGGCCCTTACCTAATTTGTAGTGACCCTCCTGTTAAACTCCTCACCAGTTGTGTGTCTCTAAGTGGGACTAAGGCCACTTTACTTAATATTAACCTAATACTCTAGCTAATTCTATTCACAAGCTGTCATTTTTTGTTGGACAAAGAGGTAAGTGTTTCTTGCCCAATTTGAAGTTTCCCGAGTAATTGGGGATGCTACAGAGAGGTACCTTGAAGGTGAGGTTGCTGGAGAAGTGCACTCCAGTCTCTTGCTGGCACTTAACCTACCATTAGGCAAAAAGAGGCAACAAATCTTCCTTTAGCTGATGTTGACCGAAACTTGTCTCACCAAAGGAAGTTGCATCAGCACATTTCTGGTGGCATCATAGACATGCAAATGCCTAATTGACCAGGTCTAACAGACATAACTGAGAATGACCATGGAAACTTCTCCTTTCAGAGGCTGTGTTAAGGTTAGGCAAAGCAAAGGATGCCAAGCTGTGGTACCTGTTGTAAAGGCACCTGGAGCATGCAAACCTCTTATATACACAGGAATATTAAGGCCAGGTGTGGCAACTTCACTGCATTCACTTGTGTTGCTGACATATGGGGATAATTCTGTGGAGTAACAGAAGCCTAATCCTTAGACAGATAGCTCGTACAGTTCCATCTAAATTTCAGAAGCCTTTAAAAGGGATCCACATTCTGGCTGCACCCATTATTTGCCATCAGACCTGTCTCTGAAGCTTTTTTCTCATTATCTTGGCCTACTAATTATGAATTCACTGTCTCGTCACTTGGCAAAGGTAAAGCTAGACTTCCATTTTGAGCTTCCAAATGACATTTCCACCTTGCCCAGTAAAAGTTTCCTATAATTGCCCCATTACTTTAAATTTTAGTGGAAACGGATTTTTCGTATAGGGCCAACCATCAACACATCTGAATTTATATCTGGAATTGTGAATAATTGTACAAATAGGCAGAAAGAAAGGTTTTGATTACCCCATCACTAATGATCATATGAAACACAAATATTAGGATTGAGTGGTTAGGATAAAGAGTCTCCTTCCTACCTGCACTTTCTACGTGGATGGAATAGAGAAAGGAATATGGTTTGCACTTGAGATTCAAGCTGATCATAAAACACTAAAATTGGCTCCTTCAGTTTATAATCTTCAGCCAAATGTTCAGTATTTCTTGAAAATTGCTGTTGGTAATGAAATGTTGGTTATGAAAAAGAAAGCATCAAATTGCAATATTTTATGTAAATATTACTTTTAAGTATTCTATTGTTCTTCAAGTGACCCATGTTAGACATTTGCCGACTGAGCGAAGTCTAGCAACTTTTGCAACAACTGCAATTTATCCAAAAGTATGAAAATCAATCAAAAGTTTCATTTGAAATTAAAATTCTCTCCAATTTCTTTTCTTGCAACCACATCAATTCTGTAAAATGAAAACAAGTTGCTGGAAGACGAGAAATAACAGTATCTTGAGACTAATTTTCCTTGTTACTAATTTCATTTTTACTCTATGGTAATATTGAGTGGCTGAATTTGGGATGCAGCAGTGAAGAAATCAAGTCTGCATGTAAATACTACTGAGGCGTCAAGAGTACATTGCACTTGTTTTCACCGATTTTTGTTTTATTAGTTTGTAAGTTTTTATCCTTTTATAAATAGAGGATTGATGCAGTTGACAGGACCAGAAATTGCAGATTATTGATCTGATATTGAAATAAAGTGCATTTTTCATGTGCCACTGAGTGCAGTGCTTCATTATTAAACTAACATATTGCTATCCTCCTGTACTATTAGAAATATTAAGATGGAATTTCTGTTCCCAGTCTACACTAAAGAAGGTGGCAAATCTAATTCTCGTATTGTTGATTCTTTGGCATTCTGCAATGATCTTGTAGGTAAGTATGCTTGGATTTAATGGAAATTGTAGAAATGGTGAAAGCCACTTAAATCTGAGATGAAATGTATTTAAATTAGTCTAATGTAATGAATTTAAATTGGTTTACCAAGTTCACGTTGCATCTGTGACCCAAGTTCATAAGCAATCCAACATTCCAATGGAATCAAAATTTATTCCCTCAATAAGTTGAATTTTTGGGCAGTTTTGTTGGTTGTCCGGCTTCCCGCTTAAGTTTCCGGCACAATGTTGCACTTTCTTATGTACAGTCACGATATGGCAGAATCAACCTAAAACACACTGTTCTACAGTTTAGTTTTTAGAAGCTTACATTTGAAGCCAAATTTACATGAAGAAACAAATGGCTGTTTTTCAAGCCTAAGATGCCAATGATGAAGATGTTGTTATAGGATCCCTACAGTATAGAAGCAGGCCATTCAGCTCATTGAGTCCATACTGACCTTCCAAAGAACATCCCACCCAGACGCATCCCCTAATCCTATCCCTGTAACCCTGCATTTCCCACGGCTAATTCACTTGGCCTGCATATCCCTGGACACTATATGGGCATTTTAGCGCGGCCAATTCACCTGACCGGCACATCTTTTGGACTGTGAGAAAACTGGAGAACCCGGAGGAAACCCACACAGACACAGGGAGAATGTCCAAGTTCCACACACAGTTGCCCGAGGGTGGAATTGAACCTGTGTCCCTGGTGCTGTGAGACATCAGTGCTAACCACGTAACCTGTAATTGAGTAAAAGTCACTAGTGTTTCTCAGATTGAAGCATTCAAGCAAGACTTATCACTATATAACTCATTCTTAAAATATCAATTTAAATTATTTATATTCTGTTTAACTTGTAACTGGTGTTTATGCAGACCAATAGTTAAAACTTTTAGATTACTGAAGCTGCTATACTTAAACTATTTTGTCATTATGCAGCTTCCAAAAGTTTTATGCAAGGCTCTATATACTTGTGGAGCTGGAGTCAAACTTTAAAAAGATGGAACAAACGTCAAACAAAGGTACATGCAGTAATTCTGAGAGAGATGGAATGGTCAAATACAGAAGAAGTTTACATCGCTCTCACTGCTTCTCCAGGTTAGTGCCCGAAATCTCTGGAGTAACAAGGCTTTTTTAAAAAAAATGGATTTTATTAATCAATATTTGTGCTTTTGTTTTTTTTCTCCCAGGGCACTCCAAAAATATCTTATGATGAACAGTGTGCTGTTTTTGAAGGATGTTGAAGTTTTTATTTCAAGGAGGAATTGTGTTTCCCCCAATTATTATACGAGCCTTAATAATATGTAATCGCATTGCAACATATCAAAATGCTTCATAAAATGTCCCCCCCCCCCCCCCTCCCAAAGTACACTGAGCATAATGCAGACAAAATGTTACAGTTATAGATGAGTTAATTAATATTGGGATTTGTTGGTGTTTTAGTTATTCTGTGTTTAATGTTTTACCAAGACTGGTTAGAGACACCCTGAGGATATCTGTTGATGAAATTTCTGTCTCATCACAAATGAACGTTAATCATGACAGTAAAACACTGTTCTTGAATCCATGTGATGTGTTAAGGTCTTCAATAGACTACAAATTTGTAAATAGAATGAGTGATCTTCCAATTCAGTATAGGAATTGGTTACTGATGGATACAAGTTATAATGGAAATTACCAAAAAACTCTGGAAATCTAGTCTTGAGACACCTTTATGATTAATCCTTGACTACAATTGAAATTATTGGGTAGAGGGGGCCCTAGCTTTATATCTCATCTAAAAGATAACACTTCCAATGGTTCAGCATGTCCTTGATATTGTATTGGAGTTTCAGCCTAAATTTTGTCCTCAAACCTTGAAGAGGGTCTTACATTTCTAACCTATTTATTCAAAAATGAAAGTGTTACCACCTAAGCCTCTGCTGACAAAAGGTGGAAATAGGATTGCTGAATCAGCAGGCATACAATCCAGTCAAACCAAGCCAGATCCACTAATAGCATATGAGAATGAGATTTATGTGTTAGGATAACCTCCAAGATGTTTCTATGAGATATGTATGCAGTAATTAGCTTTATGAAACAGTTTGAGTGATTTATAGTCCAATCAAAATATTGGAGACATTTCACTGCTCCCCTTTCAATAGTTCATCATGCAACATTGGTACTGAATTAAACTCTGTGCTCAGATCTCTGGAGTAGGGCTTGAACTCTTGACTCTTTTTGATTTGAAGGTCAGTCTGCTATTACTCCGCCAAAGTTGACTCTTATAGAAAGTGTCAGCAGATTCTGTGCTTCGGCTGAAATAATTGGCTGAGGAGAATTTTCTTTTAAGATGGAATGGAATCATTGGAAAATTATTTTTAAAAATTGGCTGTTGCAGGAAAAAGTCAGGCAAGATCATTCATCGTTTAAAAATAAGTCGGCAATATCTTGTAAGTGATTTCTAAAATGGTTGCATATATTGGGGTGCTTAGAAATCTACCCTTAGATTCCCAAAACCTAGTTACACGGAGATGTTGTGGATTAAGGGATAGGGTACCATATGGGTGCTTGTAACTTCATGTGTCAGTCAGAAAACTGTTAAACAAAAAATAAAGAACTGTAAATGCTAGAAATCTGAAACAAAACAAATTGCTGGAGAAACTCAGCAGGTCTGGCAATGTTTCAGGTCCAGTCTGAAGAAGGATCACTGCACCTGAAATATTGCCTTTGTTTTCTCTCCATGGATGCTTCCAGACCTGCTGAGTTCTCCAGTAATTGTTTTTGTTTCGGAAAGCTGTTAAAGATTAGTGATCCAGTTTGTATTCTGACTTGACCTCCTATTGAATGGAAGTAAAATTATGCAATATGTAAAATAGGCAGGTGAATCCAATCCTAATTCTTTCCCACCAGATGAATTGTCTTAAAATTAGCACTCTGATGACATATCAAGGGTTAATGATGTAGAAAGATTATTTGCTTAATCCACTGCTGCTAAAGGATGACATAATAGAATATATGTAAAGAACATAAAGAAGGAGTGATACTAGATATCGACAACTGGGCGCAAGTGAATCTCTTGAAGAGTATAAGGGTTGTAGGGGCATTCTTAAGAGAGAAATCAGGAGGGAAGAAAGGGGATTTGAGATGGCCTTAGCAGATAAGGTTAAGGATAATCTAAAGAGATTCTACAAGTACATCAAGAGCAAAACAGCAACTAGGGAGAGAATAGGGTCCCTTAAAGATCAACGAGGTTGTCTCTGTGTGGAACCTGATAAGAACCAGACCAGACCACCTCAAAATATTTTAAGAAGGTAGCCTAGACCCTAACTTTTTCTTATTTTAATGGCAAATATAAAGTGCTGTGTTCCAGATGCAATTCGACTCGTCAAACTACTCAACGTTAAGCAAAATACAATTTATTCAAACACTATAGTTAAAATACTACAAAAAACTTAACTCTATTGAAAAATTTAACAGTAATAGATACAGTAACTATTACAAATGAACTGTTCCAATATAATAAAATCCCATAAACATGCTGTGGCGAAAGGAGCAAATTCAGGAAACAGATTTTGCCTCCCATGCAATCCAGCAGCCTAGGAAGAGACCCCCAGCTATTAGCTGTAGTTGAGACCGGGAAAAATTGCTTCAAATTGTTCAAGCCCACAACAGCAACTGCTGAAAGCTAACTAAAAATCCTTGATCTGAGGGCTTGGCCACACCCACTCAGGCTGCTATTGTTGTTCCAACTTTTTAAAAACAACCCAAGGCCTTATAAGTTGTTTAACTGCTCGGCAGCTGTCTCCCCAATCTCTCTCTCTAAAAGAAACCAGGACAAATACACCTCTTGAAGCCACAGCATCATCACAAACCACAGGAGATGGGAGAGATAGTAAACAAATATTTTGTCAGTTTTTACTGTGGAGAGAGAAATCGAGGCTAGGGAACTCGGGGCAAGTAAATATTGATGTTTTGAAAACAGCCCACATTACAGAAGAAGTGCCAGACATTTTAAAAAATATAAAGGCGTATAAATGTCCGGGACATGATCAAGTGTATTCCAGGACACTATGGGAAGTTAGGGAAGAAATTGCGAGACCCCTAGCAGAGAGATTTGTATCATCTATAGCAACTGGTGAGGTTCCGGAGGACTGCAGGGTGTCTAATGTTGTGCCTTTATTTAAGAACGACTGTAAGAAGCAGCCTGGGAACTGTAGGTATGTGAATCTGACATCAGTGATGTGTAAGTTGTTGGAGGGGATTTTAACAGATAGGATCTACATGTATTTTGAAAGGCAAGGACTGATTAGGGATAGTTAGCATGGCTTTGTGCATAGAAAATCGTGTCTGTCAAAATTGAGTATTTTGAGACATAACCAAAAAGATTTGAGGGCAAAGTAGTCGACATTGTCTACCTGGACTTTAGTAAAGCCTTTGACAAGGTTCTGCATGGTAGACTAATTAGTAAAGTTAGATCACATGGGATTCAGGAGGAGCTTGCCAATTGGATATGAAATTGGCTTGATGATTGGTGATGTGGTGGTGGAGGGTCGTTGTTTGGATTGGAAGCCTGTGACCAGTGGTGTTCTACAGGGATCAGTGCTGTGTCCGCTTTCTCATTTTTTATAAATGATTTGGATGAGAAAGTAGGAGGCGTGGGGTTAGTAAGTTTGCAGATGGCACAAAAATTGATGGTATAGTCAACAGTGAAGAAGGTCATCTCAGATTGTTATGGGATCTTGATCAATTGGGCCAGTGGGCTGAGGAGCGGCTGATGGAGTTTAATTTGGATAAGTGCAAGATCTTGCATTTTGGTAAAACAAACAGTTTTCACACAGTTAATGCTAGGGCCCTGGGTAGTGTTGCTGAACAGAGACCAAGGGGTTTAGGTACATTGTTCTTTGAAAGTTTCATTACAGGTAGACAAGGTTGTTTAGAAGGTACTTAGCACACTTACCTTCATTGCTCAGACTATTGAGTATAGGAGTTTGGATGTCATGTTGAGGTTGAACTCGACATTGGGGAGGCTTCGAAAAAGATTGACCAGGATGTTGCTGGGACTGGAGGGTTTGAGTTATAAAAGTAGGCTGGATAGGCTGGGACTTTTTTCACTGGAGCGTAGGAGGTTGTGGGTGACCTTTGAGGTTTATTAAATCGTGAGGGGCATAGATAAGGTGAATAGTAAAGGTCTTTCCCTAGGGTGGGGAAGTTCAAATCTAGGGGACATTTTTTTAAGGTGAGAGGAGAAAGATTTAAAAGGGATCTGAGGGGCAACCTTTTCACACAGAGGGTCGTTCATATGTGAAATGAACTGCCAAACGAAGTGGTAGATGCAACATTCAAAAGACATTTGGATAGGTACATCAATAGGAAAGGTTTAGAGGGATATGGGCCAAACACAGGCAAGTGGGACTAGTTAGTTTGGGAAACTTGGTTGGCATGGACAAGTTGGACCAAAGGGTCTGTTTCCGTGCCATATGAGTATGACTCTATGAACGTTGTATCTTTTGTGTTCTATAGTAGCATCTATGCTATGGTAATAGACGTAGCTTGTTGTGATGCACTTTTATTTATTGTAATCTTATGGTCTCCGTGTAGGAGCACTGTTCTTTTAATTTTATTTTCATTGCCTAATTTTACATGCTATTGATGCTATATGAAATACGTAGTACAAATATTAAACCTGAATGGTTAAAGAATAAACATATGGTGTAATACATATGTACAGAAGAAGGAGCATTGCAGTAATGAAACAGTGTGTGGTTCTTTACACAGTTGAAAACTATGTCCTGTGTGGCGATGAGAAAGGAGACATTTGGATGTACGAGCTCGAGGGGGTCACCAATGAAGAAATGACTTCCGGCAAGAAGACTCCACCAACACAGGTAGATCATAAGATACAGGAGCAGTATTTGGCCATTCGGTCCATCAAGTCTAATCCGCCATTTGATCATGGCTGATATGTTTCTCAATCCCATTCTCCTGCCTTTTCCCTGTAACCCTTGATCCCTTTACTAATCAAGAATCTATCAACCTCTGTCTTAAATACATTCAATGACTTAGCCTCCACAGCCCTCTGTGTCAATGAGTTCCACAGATTAACTACCCTCTGGCTGGAGAAATTCCTCCTCGTCTCAGTTCTAAAGGGTTGTCCCTTCACTCTGAGCTGTACCCTCAGATCCTAGCCCCTCTCTTACTAGTAGAAACATCATCTCCACATCCCCTCTAACAAGGCTTCTCAGTATTCTGCAAGTTTCAATTATATCTCCCCTTTCTTTCTAAACTATATCGAGTACAGACTCAGAGTCCTCAACTGCTCCTCATATGATAAGCTCTTCATCCCTGGGATTATTCACGCAAACTCCTCTGGAATCCCTCCAACTCCAGGACATGCTTCCTTTGATACAGGACCCAAAACTGCTCACGGTATTCCAAATGCTGTTAGACCAAAGCCAAATACTGCCTCGGCAGTGCATCTCTGCTCTTATATTTTAACCTTTTTTGAAATGAATGCTAACATTCGCTTGACTTCCTAATTACCAACAGAATCTGCATGTTAACCTTTTAAGAGAGTTCTGAACTAGGATTCCCAAGTCCTTTTGTTCTTCAGATTTCTGACGTCTTTCCCTGTTTAGAAAATAGTCTACTCCTCTTTTCTTACTACCAAAGTGCATAACTGCTGCAACTTTAATGGCAAAATTAACTTCTTTGTAATTATTTTTTTTAAAGGTAATTGATTTTAAACAGTTTTAAATGATTTGTCTGTTCATTTATACTTATCTGCCACATGCAATGGAACTTTACTTGATTCTCTTTGCTCCTAATTGGTATTTTGTTCATTTGCTCACTTGCTTTACATTCCTGTTCATTTGCAGATTCTCAAGTGGCCAGCCATAAAAGCACAAGGGGAAATAATTGAAGGAACATTGATAAATAATGTAAGCACGGACCCAGAATTTAATTACCTTGTAGCAGTGACCGACAAAAACATCGTTGTTATTTGGAAAAGAACATAAAGTTTTCAGCAAGGAAGCAGAACAACTAAATGTCCAGAATCAAAATTTGCAGCTATCTTGACTTCAAGTGGAACTGAACGATGCTGTAATAGCACTCTAGTTTTGTATTCAAAATAATGGTGTTTTATGTAAGAATTATGAATTTCTTCTGAGTAAGAAATGTGCGTACTGAAGAAGATGGACAAGATCGAGGAGTCATTGAGCCAATGTAATAAATACTAGTCAAATACTTGCAGTGCTGCTTATGGTTAAGTTAAAGGCTAGACTGAATAATTGCAAATTGAATTGTATGCAAGTCAACACATCATGACCACATATTTGTACTTTTGTAGACATGTATACAGTAGTTTATAAAACCTAAAGTCAGAACACAATATTTAATGTCATATAATGCACAAAACATAATTTTCAGCAGAAGGGGTATTTCTAGGACGGGAGAGAAAAGCTAATTCAGAAAAATTGTGAAGAAGGTGATGCTGATGGGGAAATTGCTGAAGTTGATGGGACCAGTCTGGCTACCTTTTTAAACTTCTTGAAAAACATTGAGGAAAGATTGAACTGATGCCTTTTCCTTTTCTTGTTTCCTGATAGCACAGCAGACACTCTCAACTCTATGGACCTTGGTATTTTGATATTCTTGGGTATTTTTCTTCAAATTACTCATTCCTACTTTAAAGAGTCTGAAACCATCTGCCAATTGTTTGGATGTGAATCACTTAGTGTCAGGAATCTCTGCTTCCTCTTCTTCATCTACGATCATCTGGTGTTTCAGTTCCATCAGGTTTTCATTACTTATTCACCTCTTATGAGTGGGATTCAAGCAACTCCTGAATATTATCAACAACGATATCAAACTCCAGGTGATTGCCAAGTTCGACCACTTTGTTTGCCACTGCCTCAATAGTTTCTTCAAAACCTTAGAAGCCATTAATAATGAGGGCAAAGTTTTTTCCTGATACCATTCGTATCGATTTGCCTTACGTTCATCCCATGCCTTTGAAATGTTCTTTAATACTTGGTAGATGTAAGACTTCTAAAATTTGTTTTGTTTTTTAACCTCCTTTGTCTATTGCTGTAATGGCTTGTGAAAATGTCCTACGGTGGTAGTAGGCTTCAAAGGACACAATGACACTCTGATCCATAGGTTTAAGTATGGAGGTTGTCTTGGGTAGCAAGTACACAAACTTAATGTTGGAATGAAAATCATCCAGATATGCAGGATGTCAAGGAGCATTATTTAGGATTAGTAAAGTCTTGAAGGGCAGTTTCTTACAGGCACAGTACAAATCTACCTTAGGTACAAAATAATGCCAGAACTGGACCTCAAAAGGCTCAATGCCACCCAAGCCTTTTTATTGGACTTCCATATGATTGGAAATGATGTCCTCCAGGTTCCCTCGAAACCCCTAGGATTTTCAGCATAGTGCATAAGCACTATGTACCTTCGCATCTTCCAAAACAGCTCCGTCTCATCAATGTTGAAACCTGTTCAGCACTGTAACTGTGCCCCCTCTAATTATTTCAGCCAGCATATCAGGAAATTTGCCGACCGCATTATGATCAGCACCAGCAGCTTTCCCTTGTAATTTAATGTTGTGCAAATTTGCCTTCCTTTTAAATCTGTTTAACCAACCTTGCCTAGTGATGAAATTGCTTTCTCTTGAATGACCTTTAGGTTAACCAGCATACAACAATGATGCTGATCCTCAAGCCAAACAATTAACAGTTTTTTCATTTCTACAATTAATCTACTCCTTTGTTTAGTAATTACTATTGTACTGAGCCCTTCACATGTTCCAGAATGTACGCTTTATCTTTTAAAATAGTTCCAACTGTTGAATGGCTAAGGCCTAATTCTTTTCCAATGTTCATCAGCATCTTTGCCTTTTTCAGATCACTTGAGTATTGTCTACTTTTGCCTCCCATGTGATGGTTTTACATTTCTTTGCACTATCAGCACTGGTATCATGTGCATTGGAACTGTATGATAACTACAGTACTGTAACATAGCAACACTTTGAAGACTTGTATGAAGTAGTGTAAATCTCCAGAGATGCATTGTTTCTCCATTCTTCCATTGGGAAGTATAAATGAATGTTCAGATTGTTGGATCCTTAAAATAAGTAGTATCTTATGGGATCGTATTCGTAAGTTAGATGTTTATAAATTGGAGTCGGCAAGTGTATTACTGCTAGTATGTTACATGTGGCTTATCATGTTTCTTTAAGGCCTACAGCATGTTATTTATATTCTAGCTGCTCCTCAAGTTAATTCAGAATCAGACGCTGACTTGAAATTTTTATACTCCATCATAGCCTCCCTTCCTAACACTGAATTTTTAAAACCAATCTAAAGCTACTTCTTGTTGCTGAAAAAATTTTGTCTGTGTTAGAAATTGTTGGCTTTCATTGTTTCTTTTAAATGTACTTTTTAACCACATATATTTGCATGTATGACATGAAATGTGATGGATGCAACTTGTGGCACAGTGGTAGTGTCCCTACCCGTGGACCGAGAGACCAGGTTCAAGTGTCACCTGTTCCAGAGATGTGTAATAACAACCCGGAACAGGTTGATTTAGAAAAATAGGTTAAATTTTTAAGTTTTAAAAATTAAATGTGGAAAACTAGTCATTGGAATTTAAAATTACAAGTGCATTCACAGTCTACATTTCCTTCACTAAACAACACAAAGTTTGATCTGAGGCTTTACTTAACAGATGTGGTTCAAAAGAGACTGTACATGACCTTCTAAAGTAATATAGACCTGACCACCATGAGCAGTCATGCAAGATTGCAATTCAGTAGCCAAAAAAAAACTGGTATGTGAAAGAATACAGATACTGTTCCTCTGAAATTGATTTGAACTTTTGTAGCTTGGTGTTTACTACATTATAATGTAGTTATAGTGAAACAAAATAGTCAATATTGGAATGTTCTGAGGATGGGTCACTGGACCCAAAACGTTAACTCTGATTTTGTTTTTCTTCCACAGATGCTGCCAGACCTGCTGAGCTTTTCCAGCAACTTCTGTTTTTGTTCCTGATTTACAGCCTCCGTAGTTTTTTCGGTTTTTATTTGGAATGACCACAATCTGTTAGCTATGTAATGAATAAATCATCAGTGTTAATCATGGATATGTGCTAGTTACTTCAATTTTATTTTGTTTCTTCAAGGTTTTACTCTCTAAACAATGCTATATGTAGATTGGTTCATTTAGGAGAACTGTAAACCTTACTCCTGCTCCCACCCTGATGTGACTGTTTTAATAAATACCTGCTTATGTCTTCCTTACATTTTTTTTGTCAATGCCTAGATATTACCTTCAATTCCCTTGATTTTCTCAGCTTTGATAAGGTTTCTTATGGAAGATTGGTAAAGGCATTTTTTTTTTTTTTTTTTTTGAAGGTCCAAGTAATCCATTATATCATAACATAAAAGGAGTAAAAGAGAAAATAGATCTCGGATGCAAGTTGCAAATGAGTGACAGAAAATGACTTCCTAGCAGTCAGGCAGCATCTATAGAGAAAGAAAGTTACACAGAAGATGAAGGAGCAGAAGGAGGTCATTCAACCCACTTGGTCTCCACCATTCAATGAGATCATCGCTGATCTAATAATTATTGTTGGTGCTGATCTAATAATCTTCAACTCCACTTGCCTGCCTTTTCCCATAATGCTTGATTCCCTTGCTGATTAAAAGTCTGTCTATCTCAGCCTTGAATATACTACGTAGCCCTCCTATGGCCAGAAACGATTTGAAAATTGATGTCAGAGATACTGCAATCTCCTCCGTTGCCTCCCACAGCAACTTTGGATACATCTCATCTAGGCCTGGGGGTTTATCCACATTCAAGCTGACTAAAACCACTAATACCTGTTCTGTCTCCATATAATTTGTTTAAGTATATCTCAGTCCCCCTCTCTGATTTCTATATGTACATAGTCCTTCTCTATAGTGAATACAAATGCAGAATTCTCATTTAAGATCTCAGTTGTCTTCTGGCTGTACACGCATTGCCACTTTGTTCCTAATGTGCTGCTCTTTCCCTGGTTATTCTCCTGTTTCTAATATACTTATAAAACTCCTTTGGATTTTCCTTTAATGTTTTCCGCCTTTTTCATGTCCCTTCTTCAATCTCCTAATTTATTATGTTGCCGCCCCCCCCCCACTTTCTATACTCCTCTTGGGCATTTGCTGTTTTGAGAGCTCAACTTCTGACATGGGGGGCACAGTGGCTCAAACCAGGGACCCAGATTCTATTCCACCCTCGAGTGACTCTCTGTGTGGGTTTCCTTTGGGTGCTCCAGTTTCCTCCCACAGTCCAAAGCTGTGCAGGCTAGGTGGATTGGCCGTGATAAATTGCCTGTAGTGTTCAGGGATGTGTAGATTAGGTGGGTTATAGGGGGATGGGTCTGGGTGGGATGCTGTGAGGGTTGGTGTGGACTTGTTGGGCCAAAGGGCCTGTTTAAACACTGTAGGGATTCTGTGATTCATATAGATCCCACATAGTCACTCAAATCTATGATTCATAAGTTTTTTTTTCTCTCCCTTTATCCAATCTTGTATGCCCCTTGACATCCAGGGTTCTGTGAACTTGTTGGTCCCGCCCTTCACCTTTGAGAGGTTGGCCCTTCACTCTTGCTGGAGAAAAGACTTTGTGTATTTACCCTATCCATGCTCCTCATGATCTTATAAACCTCCTATAAGGTCACCCCTCAGCTTTCAACCCTCCAGGGAAAATAGTTGCAGTCTGTTCAGCTTCTCCCTATAGCTCAAACCCTTCAACCCTAGCAACATCCTTGTAAATCTTTTCTGAACCCTTTCAAGTTTCACAACATCCTTCCTCTATTCCAAAAGTGGCCTAACCAATGTCCTATACACCTTTTTAGTTCTACGCATATGGCCCCATCTGAGGAGCCATTTAAGATAATCATTACTTCTTACTGCAGTAATTGACTCTTTGACTTATACTGCATCACTTTTGCACCCCCTCCTGCCTTGCCTGAAGATTCTCCAGGACATCAAGCTGTCCTGTTTCCCACCTCCCCACCCCACTCCCCCCTTGTCTCCACAACAGCAATGATGTCATATCTCTATGTGTCAATCAGTACTCTTAACTCATCTACCTTACACACAAGATTCCTTGCATTAAAATAAATATCATCTGACCTTACTTCACACTAGTAAACCTCTCCACAGGGATGTTGGTCCTATTCTAGTTCAGCAGTAACCTGTCAGATTTATACAGATTCCACCTTCCCCAGAAATGGACCCAGTGATCCAGGAATCTTAACACCTTCCTCCTGCATCAACTCTTTAGCCACACATTCATCTGGTTCTGTCTGCCTATTCCTATACTCACTAGCACGTCGCACTAGGAGGAATCCAGAGATTACAACCTCTGAGGTTCTGCTTTTTAATCTGCTCCCTAGCTCCTCAAATTCTTGTTGCAGGACCTTATTCCTCTTTCAACCTATGTTGCTTGTCCCATCGTGAGCCCCAATCTCTGACATTTTGCCCTCCCCTTCTAGAAGCCCTACAGCCATTCAGTGACATCTTTGGCTGTTGCCCTAGGAAAGCAACACACTAGTTCTAAGGAAGGGTCACTGGACCTGAAATATTAACTCTGATCTTTTCTTCACAGATGCTGCCAGACCTGCTGAGCTTTTCCAGAAACTTCTGTTTTTGAAAGCAACACACCATCCTGGAGTCACGTATGCAGCTGCAGAAACACCTGACTGTATGCCTCACTATTGAGTCTCCTATTGCCATTGTTCACCTTCTTTCTGCTTTCCAGTTGGGCAGCTGGGCTTTGGCTGCACTTCCTGGAGGAACTCTCACTATCGTCATTTACCAGCAAAGAAAACTGTTCTTGAGTGAGCTTTTCTGACTACCAATCTTCCTACTTGCAAACCAGCTTCTTAAAACCTCAACTATGGCAATGGGCACCGTTCAACATTTATCCACTTACTATAGCTAAGGTACTCTTAGACTTCCACTGCAAAGAATTGACAAGTATTTATTCTTAGAGTTTCCTTGTGTTTGATCACTCAAACCTGCGGGTTTTCTGTGAATTCAGTGACTCTTGGGCCCAGGTTCCAGCTCGGACATGTTGAGGCCAGGTCCTATGCAACCCCAAGCCCGTGGCAGGTTCTGGCTCGGCTGCGGCAGTCGCATAGGCTGCAGCATGGGTAGTGGAGGAGCCCAAAGCCAGGACGTTGGTGACTGATTACCAGCGGCAGTGTCGGAAGGAGTGTTGGATGGGGAACAGGGGTATGAGATCAGGCCCACGGATCCAGCTCAGTCGTGGCCTTTTCCAACAGTGACGGTGGAGGTGGGCCCGTAACTGAGAGCCTGACTGATGTCAAGCAGCATCTGGAGGACTAGCAGAGGAGGTACAAGAAGAGGAGACAGAGACAAACTCTATTGCAGTAAATTCTTGCATTATATTCAGTGTTTCGAGACGGTGCTGGAGAGTGATGACACTTTACGTTTAACACACGGAAAACACTTCTCACTGAATTTTTATATACGTGATAATAAATCTAAATCCTGAGCAATGGAATGAACCTTAGTTGGATTGTTTCTCAGTTTGAGAATGACACTTCACAACTTTTTAACAACTCCACAATATTTCTATCCATCCTTCAATAGCAAAAATAACTTCTGGCTACCTTGGAATAGCCCTGTGTGCTCTCAAAATTCCTCTAACATACTTTCTCTAAACATTGGTGGAATAGCGACTATTAAACCCCACAAGATACACTCTTGATCTACACAGTTTATTTCATATGTGTGAAATACTCCAGCAATGTCTTATCATCATACTCAAGACCAGCTATTCATGATATAATTGAGCACTTTACTAAGCATTACATCTTTGAGTTTCTTCTCTAATTTCTCTGGTAGATACTGACATGTCAATTACATGTATAAAGTAATTCACAGGTAACTCAGTGGCTAGAAATTAATTAGTCCTCACTGAAAATCTCTAAAGGACATTGACATTTGCATGATCTGCTGACATGATATTTAGTTTTGCATGAATGGCTAAATTTATCATTTGGTTCTCATTAATCAAAGATCATTTTGTGCTCTCTTAGCACTTTCTCAATGTCAGACATACTCCTACTGATGGCTACAGTAATTAACTCATCCTAGTTGAACTGTAGTTTTTTATGCTAACTTCTTCCCATCAGAGAAACTTTGTTCCCTCTTGCAAATTCTAATAGCAATTAATAGGATCTAACATCATAGGAGTACTGCTTCAGAAATAACTAGTGAGCTTCATAACAGATTTGCATAAGGACATGTAACACAGGAATTATTGTTCTCTTCTGAAATAACAGTCGTGACTGCTCAATGGTGAAAGTAAGTTGTGATTCTCTGACTTTCATTTCTATTGTGGACACAGGCATTATATCTCTAACACGATTACTCTCATCCTTTTTGCTGTTTTTTCCTTGCAACTCTGACTGAATAAAACTCTTAATCTTCCTGCTTGATAACATTCAGTTTTGTTTCCAGATTGATATTTTCTAATCAATTTGTTCAGAGATGTTACTACTCACCTTTAGAACAGGTGGGTCTTGAACTTGGCCCTCCTGGTTCAGAGGTAGGGACACTACCATGGTGCCACTAAAGCCCTTGACTGTTTCTATATTAACCATGTGCACATTTAGGATTCCCTGACTCCTGAATTAGCTTTAGATTGACCATAACCTGGTGTTTATTTGCAACCTGGAACTTTCTCAGGATATGAAGCATTAATTACTGCTTTCACTACTTCTGCATACTGTGTGAAAATGAATGACTTTTCACAGAAAGAACATGTTGACTAGAGAAGGGGCATTTAGATGGGGCATTGAGAATGGTGATGTAAATTTCTGACTTGGAGTTTGGCTGGCATGTCTTGAATCTCATGGAAATCTAATAGACTTCCTTTGTCAGCTCAGAAAAATAATGATCCATTTGCAACAATTTCTTTCTGACATTTCCATGGCTATGGCCTCATTGCAGGCCTCCTTCCACATCAGGTCACTGCCTTTACTCAGACACATGACCTGGATTTTAGTTCTTTAGGTCTCTTATGGATGTGTCTCCAAGGGCAGTTTCCAGGTTTGCACCATTCTCAGTGACAAGAGAGTTTCTCCAATTCAAAAATGTACATTGCAATAGTCTCACTTCACAACTGATTCCTTTCACAGAACATGACCGTTGGTAGAATCTGACCCTGGAGCATGGTATAATAGAATTTCAATAATTTCAGAATAGTCCATAGTACCGGGGGGGAGGAGGTGGTGGTCTCACGGTAACAATGTTGACATATCACCTCAAAAGGACTTGGCTTCATCTTGCTGAGTAAAAGTTTTATTTTATCCTCAGCCCCTATTTTATTGACTTTCAGCCAAAAGTGTAACGCCTCATTCATAACTTCACCACTTCCATTGTCAGGGTTGAATTCATCCGGTTGTCCCCAAAGATACTTTCAGTGCTATCTGTTCAATCATGTTCTGTGCTAACTCATTGTGCACCTGAACACAATGTGCACATTCAGCAACCTTTCAAACTACTTAAACTTCCTCAAAGTCACATTTATAAGTTCCAAAAGGTATATCACAATGTTCTTTGGTTCTTAATTTCTCAGATGAAATGTAAAATTAATTCCATCCCATCCTCACTGCTACCTTTCTGTTGTATATTGTATTCAGTAAGATTAACTTCTCTTTCTTAGGTAGTCGTTTAGGATTGAGGATGATAAGTTTCCACGCTGATTCCATGAGTTCTGAAATGGCTGATACATACAATGTACTATCTGCAGACTCTGTCTCATGGAACGAAGGTGATGCTTTGACGGGTTGGATATTTTGGTGGTTTGCGTGTTCCTTCTGACACTTCACATCCCTGCTGAAGTTTCTTATTCTGTTTGGTGCCACCTGGAGTGAGCCTTCTCCATTTAGGTTGAATAATAAGCCAGGGTGTCCCATCAGTTGGCTGAGATGTTAGGGTTTACTGTGAGGACATTCCTAAAGTGTTTTCACTGTCTTCCTGGGAGACTCCTGCTTCGACTGAGTTCTGAGTAGAGCAGTTGCTTTGTCATAGGAACGAACGTTTCACCCAGCAGAGTTGAATTAGCGCTTTCACGGTGTGTGAATGGGCTTGGGAGAGGACACTGCTGTAGTACTGCCTTTCTTACGACTGAATTGGAAGATCGTGTGAATAAACCGCTGCTGCCATTTGCTGCGGGTCTCCAAAGTGCTGCCCTACAAAGCTTGAATCTGTCTTGAGCATGAGATCCTGACCCTTAAATAATCTTTTCCCCAGCGTTGAGAGGGGGCTGCTAAGATTTGGAAATGGCCTCATTTTTCAGGATCTCGTTGTTGATTCAGTTAGACTAACATAATCTGAGCTGCAGGCAGTCAAAATTGAACACCTCCCCAACAAAGAGGGCAGCAGAGAAGGCAATATGACCTTACAAGACACTACCCTAATTTTCACCATGAACTGATGAGAATTGATTATTGATCCGTACAGTTGCTTCGGTACAGAAGTTGAGGACGCGATTGTTTTTACATAACCGAACTTTGAATTTGAGCTGTTGTGACGCAGTGATGTTATAATCACACATGACCTCTGTTTACAGCTTGGTGCCGAGTCTGGTCAGTTCAGAGCTGGGCAATAACAACAAAAAAAGACAATATTGGAAACAATCAGCAGCTCTGGCATCATCTGAGCAGAGAGAAATAAGAGCCAAAGTTAACGTTTCGGCTTTCATCGGAAAGACAGCGTTTACTAAACCAGGGTGAAATGTGCCCTTAAATATTTATGATTGAAAGTGCAAGGAAAAAACCCAAGCTGTTATACACGGGAAAGGGTGTTTTTATTTTCTGTTAATTGTAACCTCAGAAAAGCAGCATGGTGACGTCTGGTGTATCCAACGCCTGGGAGGACAGTCCCTTTCTTCCAATTGGTGTTGCTATTATTAATATTTAAATGACAGGCTTCAAGAGGCCAATGAGTGAGATTTGGGGGAAGGGGTTGGTGCTGTCTCTCTCTCTGCGTGTGGTTAGTGGAGTTACCTTCATGTGAGCGAGGGAACTACTTTGCTGCCTGCGGCTCTGAGCCTGCAGCATGGACATGGACTGCGGGCCCTGCTGCGAGGCTGGAGCCAGCGGGCAAACCGGTCTGGACACCAGAGACACCTGAATTGGCTGTTCATGGACTAAAACCAACACCAGCCTACAGGAGGAGGAGAGGGGCTGGTGCAGCCAGCGGGCTAAAAGGGGAGGAAGAAAAGCCAAAAGGTGGAAACGATGGCCACCCTACCAGGAAGTCGAGTGGTCGCGCTGACCTTGTTGTGCGGCAAGACTGGAAGTGCCACACTGTATCCAGCGCAACAGTATCCAGTGCGACTGTATCCAGCGCGGGCTTCCCCGTTGAACCCCGCGAGCGGCGGCTGTAGCCTGAAGAGATGCAGATCCACCTCCTCCTTATCCGGTTACTCCGAACTGGCCAGGGAAAGATCGAAAACGGTCACCTCCTTCTACAACCAATCTGCCATCGATGCGGCAGCCGAAAAGGTCAAAATCCTATTTCCTTTATTTGTGTTTTTTCTCTTTTGTTTTTAACCCCCCAACCACCCCCTTCCCTCCCGCTCCGTCATCAGATGAGGCCGGCGTGAGAATTGCCTGTGTAATGACAGAATAACATTCTACACACCACACACAGCAAAACAATAGAATTCCTAAAGACTGCACTAATTTCAAACACATTTGAACACGGGGAGCAATTGTTTAGGTTGGTGTGAAGACCTGTGTTGGGGGGGGACCACAAATAATCACTTTGTTCCGGGAACTTGAGTTGGAAGTTGTTGCTTGACCTTCTGATGAATGCTGTTGTGACTGAAAGACTATCTCCCTTCCCCCATCCTGTTTACCACATAATGCCTTGATATATTTGCTCAGAATATTTTCCAAATATGATGATCGAATAGCCCGGAATCGGCCTAATCCGCGCCTTCCTGCATGTAATTGACTATTCTCAATTCTATGTTCAGAAAAAATGTTTTTTTTTAAAAAAAACTGATATTTTAACTAATTGCTCGGAAGAACTGGCGCCCCTCCTCTTGGAGGATCTGCGAATGCTGTTTATTTCAAAGTCCAGCCACAGGATTTGTCTTTCAGATAGATCCGCCTTGCTTGTGAAATCTGCCTGACGAGCGAGACCCTTTTACCCCTAGATACCCCACCAGTATGTGGACAAGTTTTTGTTTGGAAAAAGACATCTTGTTTTCTGAAGCAATATGAGAACCAATATTTGAAAATGTTAATTAATGTTCCCCAACCAATTAAGTTCGATAAGGAACAGGGAAACTGGTAACTTTCCCCAATTATTTTTACCTGCCTTTTTTGAGTGGGGTGGGTGGAATTTTCTCTGCACCTTACACCTACACTGGTCAAAATCCTCTGGCCACTGAAAGTGGGGACCGCGTGAGGACAACTAGAGAACTTCCAGGCTATTTTCTCCTCTCTCATCTGAACATAAGTTTTTTTTTGTTTAGAAGAACAAAGGCCATTAGTCCCACATTTTTACATATATGGGACTAATGGCCTCTGTGTAGAGAGAGAGGTGTATAGATATATAATAAATAGCTGACAATAATACAATTGGAATCAAGGGCACAGTGAAGAACTGAACATCAATTTTAAAAAAAAATTATTTGACTTTTTTCTTGCACAAAACCTCCACAAACCAGAATGTTACCATCGGTTACTTGTACAAGCCTCATTTCTCGGAATAGCTTTTTGTTATTTATCAGTGCTGGCCAAGAGAAATCTGGCTCCATTTCAGTCATGTGCTCCTATTTTAGTGAAGAAAGCTTCACAAGCACTTTCGCAATACATATGGTCGTGTGAGAATTTCAGAAACATCTAGCTCAGCAATCAGAGGCAAAACATTCATACAGTCTTCTCTTTATCTTTCTATCTTACAAAGAATCAAGTCAGGCAGATGATAGACTCAAAACTCTGCATGTTGGATCATATGCCCAGTGATGGTATCTATACTCACTTACTTGCTAATTAACCCCATCTAGAAATTGACTACATGTAGCTAATGTATTGAAGAATGCTGCTGTAATAGTTTAATCTTCATTGTCATAGTCTAGTGTAATGTAGTGCCAGATTGAAAGCACTTTGTACTACTGGAGAGGCTGGAATTAGAGTTGAGAAGTTGAATGCTTGAAGTAATCTTGCGAGACCAATATATTTAGCCAAGCGGTGCCATCACTTTTTTTTTGCCTTTAGTAGTGGTGTCACATAAACTAGCAGTTCAGAATTGATGTGCCCTGTCCAATGTACTGACAAGTAGACATTTGACAATATATAGATTTTTATATAATACAAAGACCACAGTTTTTAAACAAAGCACCTTAATATCAGTATGGGTGATCCATGTTGCAATAACACATCCCATCAAATTCCAAATTCACTACTTGCTTATTTAGGATGCTGAAGTGACTAGTCCACCCTGACAAAGGTGTGGTTCTCTCATTGCCAGTTCTCCACATGTAGTATGGTACAGAGCTGGTCATCAATAGAGCTGACCCCAGTTGGCTTCCCTGTCAACTGGCAACCAATAAGAATTTGCCAGGCTGTGCTTCCACAAGGAAGTGCACAAAGTATTTTCCATTGTGACCCGTCTTACACCTTTTCAAAAATCAACGTGACCCCAGAGGCTAACAAAAACAAACCAGCAAGAAGTAATAACAAGGTGTAGAGCTGGATGAACACAGCAGGCCAAGCAGCATCAGAGGAGCAGGAAGGCTGACGTTTCAGGCCTAGACCCTTCTTCTAATGTTTAATTATATATCAAATGAAGTTTGCATATTGTAGATCAACATACAGTAAGCATGGATTCTCATCTATATGTATGTTTTTTAAAGTAGTTTACTTGGTGCTTGTGCGGGACACAGTTGTGAAGGTGATGGAAGTTGTGATTGCATTGGTTGTTCTGAAGGGTTGCCACAGCGAGTAACAGCATTAATAACGTTCTGTCAAATCTGTGAGTACTCCAGTGACTGTTATGATCTGGTGAAATATCCACACCTGCCTTCACCCCTTCTTTATTTATTGAGTTTTGTTAGCATTCAAGGATGGGGATTCTGGTAATTAACTTCATCCCTTTTGGAGCCCAGGAGATTAATGTGTAAATCCCACTTATGTTTCTAAAACATCTGCTGTGCAGATAGCAAGTTCCCTCATCAAATGGGTTTTTAATTACTGAAATCCTAGGTCTGAGCCATGGTCCAAGTGGATGCAGCAAACACAGGGAGCACAACATTGGGTGATCACTGGTAGGCGTCAGGTCTTTCTCTCCACCTCTGCGCTGCACTCAGTGTGAGCACTGATTCTGCTGGCAAGATCATGGAGTTTCATTATCTGTGACAGAGGAAGCACAAATGGAGGTTTGGATGACCCCTTCAAAGAGTGCAACATACTCTGGATTAGGAACAAAAACAAAATTGCTGGAAAAGCTCAGCAGGTCTGGCAGCATCTGTGAAGGAGAAAACAGAGTTAACGTTTC